TTTTAAATGTTTTAAAGTTATAAAACAATATACATTTTCAGAAGAAACAAAATTTAATGCAGACAATTTGATAAAATCGCTTAAACGTTTCTCGTTTATGTGTAAGCTAATATTTTGGGAAAAAATTCTCAGTGCAATTAATAGAATTAATATAATTTTACAAAAACCAAAATTTATAATTGATGTAGCTGTCAATCATCTACAAAGCTTAATAAAATTAATAGAAAAATGTTGAGAAGAAGGTATAAATTAGGCTTTATCCGTGGCAAGAAATAAAGCTGAAGCAGTAGATATAAAAAACGAATTTCCAAATGTCAGAATGAGAAAGAAGAAACTATTACCTAAAGAGATTGCAGAAGATGAGTTCTGTAACATAAGCGAAGAAAAAAAATTTATAATTATGATTAAAAATGTTTTTGACAATATTTTGACCGGATTACGCCAAACATTTAAATCAATGGAAAATACCGCTCAAAATTTTTCATTTTTAGATCCAATAAAAATTAACTCCTGGCCTCTGAAAGACTTAAAAATATTCGGAGTCGATTTATGCAATAAATATGAAAATAACTTTGAAAATGTGGAATTCATATCAGAATTAGAAAGTTTTAAAGAACATATTTACATTTTGGATGAAAATTTAAAAAATGCAAGCTTCTTTAACATGTTGAATTTTATTTATAAAAACAAACGTCTAGATGCATATCCTAATATATCAGTTGCTTATCAAATATACCTTACATTGCCAGTTACTTCTGCTTCATGCGAACGTAGCTCTAGTAAACTAAAATTAATAAAATCATATTTGTGATCTACTATAGAGCAAGCAAGACTTAATAACTTATCTATAATATCCATAGAAAATAAAATTGCAAGAAAGATTAATTATGAAAAAATTATTAAAGATTTCGCTGCAAAAAAGGCAAGGCAAGTAAATTTTTAAAATTCCAAATTTTTAGATATTAATATATTATTTTTTTAATTAAAACAACCATATACAATACAAATTATGTTTGTATTTTATGTTTTATCCATGTAAAATTTTAAAATATATTTTATATACAGGGTGTTCAGTAAGTCAGGAAACCCGTTTTCTGAATTACTGAACATCCTGTATGTACAATGTACATTATATAACAATAACAAAGTTTCCACATTTAAGTTTATATAATATTTATATTTTTTAATATGTAAAATTAATTATTATTATAATATAAAAATTATTAATATTATAGAAAAAAAATTTGTATTAAAACATTCCCTCTTCTCCCCTAGGACGGGCCCGCCAGTTCCAAATATGAAGTGCACAGATAAGGGCGCTGCATTTTGCTTGCCCCGGGCGTCAAATGTCCTAGATCTGGCACTGACAAGCTGTATAAAAAGTGTTGATAATAAGGTACTCTCGATGATGAATGAGATGCCATGAAATATAAAACACTCGTGAGTCATATAATTATGAGAAAAATTTTGTTTTTAACACGCTTATATTAGTTTCACATGTATTTTGTTAATCGTTAAAAGTTGATTTTTGTGAAAATTTATAATAAAAAAAAATTTATATAAAAAATTTACTCAGTTGAGCGTATTATAAAATTTGAATATAATTGTAAAAATCCATTATTAATTCAAGAGAAACTAACAATCATTTTTAGCTTCGATGCGAAGCTGAGAAGGTATTGGTTTTACTAGGATGTGTTTTCTTTTTTTTTTTTTTTTGGTCTGTTACCACTTTTTCTCAGCTCTCACCGAACCGATTTCTTCAATGATACGTCAAAAGATCACAAATCGTATCTAGTCGAAGATATTACCCTTAAAAATTGAAAAAAATTTCCCTCATTCCCCGTAAATGGAGGAAACCTCCAAAAAAATTACAAATTTAAATATCGTTAATTTTCGAAATTTTTTCAATTTTTTTTACTAAAAACTGCTGTAACTTTTTCAAAAATGAACATATCAACATAATTCTTTTTTATATATATGCATAATATCATTACCTTTCATTTGGTATATTTTTTTCATAAATTTAACCCTTAACCTGCCCACAAGGGGGGATTTAAATGATAACTTTTTCACAATAAATTTACTTTTTTAACTTAAATTTTGAAAACGTTCCGGAAAATCTGACACTTTTTATATATACCTTAAATTAAAGCTAATGTAATATACTTTATCATGAAAAAAAAAAATTTCGGACTTTATCTTATCATCACGGTGAAAATGGCTACCGAATGCTATTTTTGTAATACCATAACTTTTTAAGCTCAATTTGCAAGTTTGAAATTGACATCATTAAATAGAAAAAATGGTATTTTTAAGATTAATATGCAATCAGGACATTTTATAATTGCCATTTATAGTGAATTTTTTATTTCATCCATTGTTAAATTTAGGTGAAACTAAAAATCATTTTTTTTTTAGATTTATGATTTATATAGCAACATGTTACGAAAAAATTAGGAATGTTATACTGTTGGTAGCACACACAAATAGAGTAAAAAAATTAATAAATTTTAAAGTAAAATTATATAATATCAAATCTAATTCGACAATATAGTTTAAAAATATTAGAAATGAATGATTTTAATTGTTTGTATGGATAAAGATGGTTAAGCTACATGTTTGGCAAAATAAATCGCGGCCTCAAAAAAAACACATAGTAAAATAATATTAACATGAATAAAAAATTTCTTCTCACGAGGGGAGACTATAGTGATGGGATCTTTGATATTTATTGAAGTTACTGAATCTAAATGAGATAATAATCAAATGATTTCAAAATTGTTATCTAACTCGAAAAAAAATGCAAAGTACTATTGGCCACAGGCGGATTCGAACTCGTACCCGAAGTGTGAAGACATAATTGTTAACGATTCAGCAACTGTTCATTGCATTTAACCGATGATAAAATTAGTTATTTAGGCTAAGTAAAATTTAAAAGTTACTTTTTTAACTTTAAATAAATATAGTTTAAAAAAACTAAAAAAACACGCTTTTAAAGCACATTGAACTAAAAAGTTTAAAATAATTTTTAAAATAAGTTTAAAATAATTATGAACAAAAAATACTAATATTATTGTGATAAAAGCATCGGGCGCTCAATATACGAAAAATATGGCACAAAGCACCCACGCTTTTATCACAATAACATTAGTATTTTTTGTTCATAATTATTTTAAAAATTATTTTAAACTTTTTAGTTCGATGTGCTTTAAAAGCGTGTTTTTTTAGTTTTTTTAAACTATATTTATTTTTCACTTTTTAGTTTCATGTTATGATAGTAGTTACTATCAATATCATGGTTGTAACGGGTAACGGGAAATCAGGGTTCGATTCCGGGGAGGGTGTCNTGGAAATCAGTGTTCGATTCCGGGGAGGGAGTCTTAGAAACGGTTACCACATCCAAGGAAAGCAGCAGCCGCGTAAATTACCCACTCCCGGAACATGGAAGTAGTGACGAAAAATGACGATACTGGATTCATCCTTTGTAATCGGAATGAATGAGTTCTACAAACAATGAGAACAATAGAACCCCGTTTCCTGACTTACTGAACACCTGTATATTTTTAATAGTAATTAGAATATATATATATATACAAGTAAAGCGACTTAAGTACGTAAACGTATCATGCACTAGGTATAACCGTATTTTGTGGGCGGGCGGGTCGGACTAACGTTATACCTGAGGTATAAACGGTGGTAGGAATATATAAATATATATACGTAAGGCGCATTAGACGCGGGCGGTATTGGTCAGTCAAAATAAAAATTTGTTTATATATATATAATATTGATGACAAGCACGCGTGTACGGGTACGATAACCAAAAATAAATTTTTATAGGAATAGTGTGCCGTCGTGATGTGAGCGAGGCGCGAGGAGGGGTGAATGCGTTATGACAGTCTAGTCTAGACGACGGAATATGCGATAACGCGTGGCGTTTGGAGAGTTACAAACATNCAGAGTGTTACAAACAATGAGAACAATAGAACCCCGTTTCCTGACTTACTGAACACCTGTATATTTTTAATAGTAATTAGAATATATATATATATACATGTAAAGCGACTTAAGTACGTAAACGTATCATGCACTAGGTATAACCGTATTTTGTGGGCGGGCGGGTCGGACTAACGTTATACCTGAGGTATAAACGATGGTAGGAATATATAAATATATATACGTAAGGCGCATTAGACGCGGGCGGTATTGGTCAGTCAAAATAAAAATTTGTTTATATATATATAATATTGATGACAAGCACGCGTGTACGGGTACGATAACTAAAAATAAATTTTTATAGGAATAGTGTGCCGTCGTGTGGTGAGCGAGGCGTGGGGAGGGGTGAATGCGTTATGACAGTCTAGTCTAGACGACGGAATATGCGATAACGCGTGGCGTTTGGAGAGTTACAAACATGCATACATACATACATACATACATACAGGTGAAACTAATATAAGCGTGTTAATAAAAGGGTGGGTGCTTTGTGTCATATTTTTCGTATATTGAGCGCCCGGCGCTTTTATCACAATAATACTAGTATTTATCGTTCATTATTGTTTTAAGCTTATTTTAAAAATTATTTTTAACTTTTAAGTTCGATGTGCTTTAAAAGCATGTTTTTTTAAACCATATTTTTAGTTTTTACTTTTATGTCATAACTTTACAAACATTTCTACCCCTTAAAAAGTTTCACAATAAAACACTGTCCAGCAACAGTGTACCTTGAGTTAATTTTTTTAGGGTGAAAATGAATGTTGTCCACATATAAGAAAATATATTATTAAAAACACAATTTAATATCTGTAATACATTTATAGATACAATACATTTAATAATACAATTTTATATATATATACATACACACTTTTTTTCAGATGACCGACATCAAAATTATAATATTTCAAACTAAATCTAAATAATTAGAATATTCCATAAATTAAAATTTTTCTTTTTTTTACAAAATAGAATGTTTATTAACTTATAGCTAACATACATAATATATTATTAAAACTCTTACATACTATTTATGTAAATAAAATGTTTAAAGTTTTCTGATAACATTGTTATTCGTTATAGAAAGTTGTAAACCTACAGATTTATGAACAATAATAAACACACATTCATTTCTGATATTATAAATTGTTTAATTTATTAGTGGTGACAAGTTCCTTCAGGCAAATCCTAAGTAACAAAAATATGTAAAATTTTAAAAATTTGTTTTAACTAAAAAAAAGACCTTATGATTTGGTAATATGTTATAAACATACTCTGTGAAGATTGCAAGTTGTAAGAAAAGATTGATTATCTAACAACCAGCCAAGCTGTAGAGCGCAACTGTAGTGAATGCTTGATTTACAATGACGAGCAGTACATCCTATACTTGCTCCATTAATTCCACAAAAAACACAAGCCTATAAAATGATGAGCAATTACTTCAAAATATTTTTTAAATTTGGCGAGTGGATGGAAATAAAATGTTGTCATGTTTTAAAAATTTTTTAAGAAAACAATTTAAAGTTTAATCACAATATAATAATTTAATAAATGAAAAAAAAAATTATGTTTAAATTGCACATGCAATAATTTATACAAATTTATCAGGTATATAGAATAAATCCCTAATTATAAGTAGGGATTTATTCTGGGGAATATACAATGAAAATTTTTAACTAACCCATCTAACAGAAATAATATTTCTTTTCCATGTAATTTTTTTTGAGGGGATGTTTCCCCCTTATCAACACTTAATTACGTTACATGTTACAGACATTTATTTACTACTTAATTTTTATGTACATAACTCATTTTTAAAAATTTCATGCCTTCTTTTTTTTTTTTTTTTTAATGAACTTACAGTGTTTTTTGCTGCTTTTACACAATCTTCCAAACCAAACAATTTTGTACCAATCATATAAACACCAGAAGCCCAAACTAAACAGTTTTCATGACTCCATATTTCAATAAATACTTCTGAAGTGTCACTATTACTTATATTGGATTTGGTTTTCTTAACATGATTTTAATAATTAATTTTACTTTTAGAGTCAAATGTTCATAATGTAATAAAATATTAGTACCTTTCGTTTTGCATTATCATTCTTTTTAATTGCATGCTTTGGCAGGCTAACATAATAAGGACCAAATAAATCACCTACTGGGTCATAACCTATATCTCTAACATGTGGTCCTCTTGAACAAAAGACACATTGCCATCCATTACTTTCTAATTTATCAACATCTGGTTTTTCTTCTCCATTTGTAATACTAGACTTGTACACTGAAATAATATTTATACTTAGTTAATGAGATATTATGAAGTATAGATAACAATTTTAGTTAAATAATTATACCATATTATAATACAATACATTAATGGGTGATTACTATTTTATTTTAAATAGTCATTATTTTTAAAGTAGTTAGATTCCTCAATAAACAAATGATTAATCGTAATTTGCAAAATATTACTGAATTTTTCTCTAAAATTTATTGAATAACTAAATAATTAAGTGTCATAAGCAGTGGCGTAGCTAGAAAGTTTAAAAGGGCATCTCCCCAAAATTTTGAAAATTTTTTAGGAAAATTTTATAAAAATAAGAGATGATTTTAGTTTGTCTTAAACTGATTTTAAACTCTTATCATTAATTTGTTAGTTGATCTTATCTTATTGTTAACAATCTAAATTTAATAATTATTCAATATTTGATAAGTACCCAGATAACAATTTTGAATTATTAATATTTTCAAAATATAAAAAAAATACAATGTGATTAATTTATTATTTATTACTAAGATTTTTTAAAAATAATAATTTAGAGAGTTTTTTCAGCTTATTAAAGTAATATTTTTTTCTCAATTTATGTAATTAAATACTTTTTAGGACTATTTCTTATATCTTACAAAGAGATACAAGCTTATTTTTTTTAAATGGCAACTTACATGTGTCACTGGCTCATATAATAGAAAATTATTAATAAATAAAATGACTAGTCTATAACAAATTTTGAACCAGTAGTTTAATAATGAATATTTTTAGAGTGGAAGTAGCAAAGAAATGCATAACAATAAAAATAATATAAACTGTAACTTACTTCCAGACTAAATTTTAAAATATTAACAACTTCTGAAATACTGATTCAAGAATTGTTATCCACCAAATACATTTTCTTAATTGGATTATTTTCTAACATTTAANGTTATCCACCAAATACATTTTCTTAATTGGATTATTTTCTAACATTTAATCTATTGAAATATGTATGTAACTTATATTAGTAGTATAAATTATTGTAAATAACTATACCTCATAGTTCACAATGTTTTAAAAAATCTAATAACTTTTAAATTTGAAAAAATCTTTTGAAAGTTATTAGATTTGTCATAACAGTATATATGCATTATACTTATTATTGTTGTCCAACAATCTTAGCTGTTGAGATTTATAAATAAAAAGTTATTGTTATAAATATTACTCTATTGTAAATTTGACATTTCCAGTTAGAATTATAAGTAAATTAATCTATAATAAAATACTAAAATTAAGAGTATCATAAAAAAAAATAAACTTGAATATGTTCTTACTGAAAAATACTAAAAATAAGTAAGGATTTTTTATTTATAATAGATTCTTTAGTAATTTAATGAAATCCTAAAAATTCAAATGTAATTCTCCAAATAAACACTAAAATTTTTCTTGAATAAATAAAAAAAACTTACAATAATTTTTTCTAATGTTTATGTTACGGCCATCTAATGAGTCTTCATCTTCTGGAATACTCCGATTAACTACAACAAAACTCGTAGGATTATCAATATTTCCATTTATCCTGATTAAAGGACCTTTATTTTTTTTCAACATGTCATTAGCTTTAGTTTTTTCTTGGACTTGTTGAACTTTCTTTAATTTTTTTATCGGTTTCTTATTTTTAGAATACGATCTTTTATTAGAATTTGTTGTAAGTGGCTTTGATTTCTCTTCTTTAGTTAACAAACTGTAATTTATGTTAGTACATTCATCGACACCACCAAATAGTTCTTCTAATTTATTTTCAACTTCCAAAAATTGAGATTGTTTATCATGAATTTTTGAAGATTTTTCAGATAAATCTTCTTGTTTCATGTGGTCACTTTTTGGACCAGGGGATGGAGATTTTAAAATTTTTTCAACAGATTCTGCTCTCATTGTTGATGGTGATGGAGATTTGCTTGATGTTGCTATCTTAATAGCAGATGTTTTTTCTGTTTCATTTGTTTGAAAAATATTTTCCAACATTTTTTCGACATGATTAGTATCTGTGATTTCTAATTTATTAGGACTTTTTTCAATAGTTTTAAAACACTTTACAACTTTTTGTTTATTATCTTTTTTACCATCATTAATTTTAACTTTATTTTGTAAAATAGAATTATCAGATTTCAGTACTAATGGAGTGTCATTGTCACATCTTTCAGATTTAATCTTAGCAAGAGGATTATGTGCAATGACACTAGGTTTATCATCCAATTTAGATAAAGTAACTAGACCATTAATTTGTTCTTTTGTTTTAGGCAATGAAATATTCTCTGGTTTATGAGATGATAAATCAATTGATACTTGCTGCGGTTCTTTTTTATGTTTAGTAAGATCAAGCTGAACTGACTGAGGTAATGAAAAACTGGATGTTAAATTTGCTGCATGAGCTGGACTAGGAGATGGCGGCCCAGTTCTAGATGGTGGAGGCATATTAGTTCTTGCATCCATCCAACGATCAATAATAGGTGTGTGTTGAGGTTTATGCATTTGAAGGGAACCTACATTATGAATTGAAGTATATGGAGTATTTCTGTAAGCAGCCATATCTACAAGAAAAAACTTTAATATAACTAAAAAACTTAGCACAGTGCGGATATGACATAGTTGGGTCAAGAATAATGATATCTGACAGTGATTAAAATCACTATCATAAAAAATCACTTTGATGCAAATCTGTAGTGTTTAATTAAAAAAAATTAGTGGATTATTCCAAAAGCTACCTGATCCCCACTTTTTTAGCTTCGATGCGAAGCTGAGAAGGTATTAATTTTACTATGATGTGTTTTTTTTTTTTTGTGTCTGTATACGCTCAATCTCAGCTCTCACTGAACCGATTTTGATGAAAAATATGTCAAAAGATCACAAATCGTATCTAGTTGAAGACATTACCCTCAAAAATTGAAAAAAAATCCCTCGTTCCTCGTAAACGGGGGAAATCCCCCAAAAAATTACAAATTTAAAAATCGCTAATTTTCGATATTTTTTCATTTTTTTTTACTTAAAATTGCCATAACTTTTTTAAAAATGACCGAATCAATATAATTTTTTTTTTTATAGATACCTTAGATAATTACCTATCATTTTATATATTTTTGTGAACATTTAACCCTTTAACAGCCCAAAGGATGGGGTTTCAAAATGGTAACTTTTTTACAAAAAATTAACTTTTTCAACTTAACTTTTGAAAATGTTCCGGAAAGACTGACAATTTTATATATACCTTAAATTAAAGCTAATGTAATATACTTTAATTTGAAAAAAAAAAATTTGACCTCTGGACTTGTCTTCATGGTGAAAATGACTACCGTATGCAAAAATATGCTATTTTTGTGAAAAAATTCTTGATATTATATTTTACATTTTTTAACATTATGTTGCTATAACTTTTTAAAAAATGCATGAATCAACTTTATTCTTTAATGATAAATACTTTATATATACTTCTTTCATTCGACATACTTTTTTTTAAAATCGGACCATTTCCCTTTATACAGGGGGGGTGCAAACCTTTTAAAATGCGTATAGAAAGTAGAACTTTTTCAACTTAACTTTTGAAAATGTTCCGGAAAGACTGACACTTTTATATATATCTTAAATTAAAGCTTATGTAATATACTTTAATTTGAAAAAAAAAAATTTGACCTCTGGACTTGTCTTCGTGGTGAAAACGGACATCAAAGTTAAAGAAAAACGTACGATTTCCGTGAAAAAAATCTCGATTTTATATGTTATATTATTTAATTTATATTTTATATAACTTTTGGAAAAATGTATGGATCAATATTATTATTTTTTTATAATAAATATTTATATACCCCTTTCATCTGGCACGCTTTTTTTGTAAATCGGATCATACCCCTTTAACAAGGGGGGTCAAAACTTTAAACATGCGTATTGTTACTAAGATATTTTCAATTTAATTTTTGAAAGTATTCCGGAAATACTGACACTTTTATATATATCTTAAATTAAAGCTTATGTAATATACTTTAATTTGAAAAAAAAAAATTTGACCTCTGGATTTGTCTTCATGGTGAAAATGACTACCGTATGCAAAAATATGCTATTTTTGTGAAAAAATTCTTGATATTATATTTTACATTTTTTAACATTATGTTGCTATAACTTTTTAAAAAATGCATGAATCAACTTTATTCTTTAATGATAAATACTTTATATATACTTCTTTCATTCGACATACTTTTTTTTAAAATCGGACCATTTCCCTTTATACAGGGGGGGTGCAAACCTTTTAAAATGCGTATAGAAAGTAGAACTTTTTCAACTTAACTTTTGAAAATGTTCCGGAAAGACTGACACTTTTATATATATCTTAAATTAAAGCTTATGTAATATACTTTAATTTGAAAAAAAAAAATTTGACCTCTGGACTTGTCTTCGTGGTGAAAACGGACATCAAAGTTAAAGAAAAACGTACGATTTCCGTGAAAAAAATCTCGATTTTATATGTTATATTATTTAATTTATATTTTATATAACTTTTGGAAAAATGTATGGATCAATATTATTATTTTTTTATAATAAATATTTATATACCCCTTTCATCTGGCACGCTTTTTTTGTAAATCGGATCATACCCCTTTAACAAGGGGGGTCAAAACTTTAAACATGCGTATTGTTACTAAGATATTTTCAATTTAATTTTTGAAAGTATTCCGGAAATACTGACACTTTTATATATATCTTAAATTAAAGCTTATGTAATATACTTTAATTTGAAAAAAAAAAATTTGACCTCTGGACTTGTCTTCGTGGTGAAAACGGACATCAAAGTTAAAGAAAAACGTACGATTTCCGTGAAAAAAATCTCGATTTTATATGTTATATTATTTAATTTATATTTTATATAACTTTTGGAAAAATGTATGGATCAATATTATTATTTTTTTATAATAAATATTTATATACCCCTTTCATCTGGCACGCTTTTTTTGTAAATCGGATCATACCCCTTTAACAAGGGGGGTCAAAACTTTAAACATGCGTATTGTTACTACGATATTTTCAATTTAATTTTTGAAAGTATTCCGGAAATACTGACACTTTTAAATATATCTTAAATTAAAGCTTATGTAATATACTTTAATGTGAAAAAAAAAAATTTGACCTCTGGATTTGTCTTCATGGTAAAAATGACTACCGTATGCAAAAATATGCTATTTTTGTGTTAAAATTCTGGGTTTTGTATTTTATTTTATTTTAAAATACCTGACAAGGGGAGTACAGATTTTCATAAATATTATATAAATTAAAATTGATATAGTATAGATAGTTAAACTTATTTAAATATGTTTGTTTCTTTTAAGTCGAGAAAAATAACTTTGAAATTTGAACTAGCTTAAATAGCCAATTTTTCAACCGCCGGAAGCAACGTACGGTTGCCGAGTTGGTAAAATTTATGTTTTACACGCTTGGGGTACGAGGTTCCAACCCGCATATGGCAATGAATTTTTTGCATTTTTTCTTAATTCTTTTTAAGTTAGTATAAATTTTAACTCGTTTGATTTTTATCACATTTAGATTCAATAACTTCAATAAAGATCAAGGATCCCATCACTTTAGTCGCCCCTTGCAAGAAGAAATTTCTTATTCGTATTAAAATTATTTTACTATATTTTAAGTTTTCGCTTCGATGCAAAGCCGAGAAGATATTTTTTTGTGACTATCATTTATTTTCTCTGCTCTAACTTGACCTACTTTTTTCAACAATACGTCAAATTACTACAATTCGTATCTAGTTGAAGATATTACTCTCAAAAATTGAAAAAAAAATTCTAATTTATCAATTAAACAGTTAGTTATTACATCGTCTCCATAAAGACAATTAAAATCATTAATTTCTAATGTTTTCAAAATATTTATTAACGAATGAAGTTTGATATGATAGGTTTCAACTACAAAATTAAATCATTTTACTTTGTAATTTAATAATTTTATTACTCTGTTTGTGTGTGCTACTATTAGACTATAATATTCAAATTTTTTTCTAACGTGTTGCTATATAAATCATTTCTAAAAAAAATGATTGTTTTTTCTCCTGAATTAACAATTGATTTTTACAAATATAATCAAATTTTATAATAAACTCAATTGAGTAAATCTTTTTAACAACTTTGTTTTGATTGGTACATTTAGTTAAAGTAAATCATTAAAATTAATTAAGTTCTCAATATTTCAATTATAGAATCTTTTCAACAAACAACAAAAGTTCCTAGGAAATTATTACTATTACTTCTATTTAAGTTATCTATTACCATAAAAATGCAAAAAAATATTGAGCTTTTCTGATAAATTTACAATAAATAGTAATTATAAAACTTTCTGACTGCATATTGATCTTAACGATACAATTTTTTTAATTGTCATAAAATTTTCTATTTAATTATGTCAATGTCAAACTTACCAATTGAGCTAAAAGTTATGGTAAAATAAATTTTTTTTTTTTTTTATAAACATTTACAACAATCAACTTTAAACGATTAACAAAATTGGTTAAATATGTCATTTTCCTTATTTTTAACTTATTAATAATCAAATTAATATTAAATATTATATCAAATCAGTATTAATTTAAAACAATTTTTTTTGTTCTTAATTATTTTTTTTTATATGTAAAAACTATTTTTTAATAATATTAAAACTTAGAAGTTATAGAAAAAGTCTAATTGCACATTTTAAAACATCGCGAAAAGTTGATTTAGAATAGTATATTTTTGTTTCTGATGGAAGTTCCTTGTAGTCCAGTGTATAAAACTTATAACTTTGTTAATTGTTATAACTTTATCAAAAATGACCAAATCAGTATATTTTTTTTTATTTAGATGCATGTCTTTATCTATCATTTGGTTTTTTTTATAAATCTAACCCTTTACCTGCCCACAAGAGGGATTCAAAATATTAACTTTTTTTTTTTTAGTTAAAGTAAATCATTAAAATTAATTCAGTTCTGGATATTTCAATAGTAGAATCTTTTTAAATATCAAAAATTACTTAGAAATGATTACTATGATTTCTATTTAAGTGTTCTATTACGATAAAAATGCAAAAAATAATGAGTTTTTCTGATAAATTTACAATAAATAATAATTATAAAACTTTCTGACTGCATATTAATCTTAAAAATAACATTGTTTTAATTCTCATAAAATTTTCTATTTAATGATTCATTCTAGTCAACGAAGGAGTAATTTTGCAGAATAGCAGAAAAAATTCCCAACAAACTTTTTTTTTTTTTGTTTTAATTAGGCAATTGGTGGATTATTCCAAAAGCAACATCAACTCTTATTTCTTTAATTATATCATGATTAGTAGTTCTTTGATTTTAAAATATAATATTTGAATATATACTAATTATAATTATTAAATTTAGTATGAAATTGATATTTAATATTGTAATTTAAACGGAGAAATTATAAAAATAATAAAGAAGTTATATTTTGCTTTACTTTTACGTGTATAAAAATTTAAAGGGCTTGATACAATAATTTTCAATAAAAACTGTTTGTTACTATAAAAAAATGCACTGGACTACAAGGAACTTTCATCAGAAGCAAAAATATACTTTTCTAAATCAACTTTTCGCGTTGTTTTCAAATCTGCAAGTAGACTATTTCTATCACTTCTAATTTTTTATATTATTACTAATTATATATATAAAATAATAATTAAAAGAAAAAAAAATTTGTTTTCAAATTATTACTGATTTGATTTTTAATATGTTAAAAATAATCAGTCCAAATTTTCAATTTTAACCTATTTTTTTGGTTCTTTAAAGTTGATGAAAAATTTTTGATAAAGATTTATGAAAGTTTATAGTAAAATAAATTGAATATATTACCATAACTTTTAGCTCAATTACAAGTTTAAAATTGACATCTAGGCCAGTCAACAAAGGAAAAATTGCGGAAAAAATTTTGTTTTTTTAAAAGTTGAATTAAAATATGTATAATGACATACTAATAGTCCTCAAGATTGGAATTGAGCTTTTTTTTTAAATCCTCGCAAAAGTTCAAAAATATGAGCTTTCTTAATTTTCTCAAAAAAAAATATTTAACTTACAAAAAAAAGTTTCGCACAAAAGTTGTTTAAAAGACAATTATAAATAAAAATATAATCTTATATTTTTTCATTTAAACAAATATTTTTCGAGTTACATTACATTTAATATGAGTAATAAAATTTATATTCCATTTTTTTCATTTTACGGTTACTTTTTATCATGTTATACTTACATTAGACACAATGTTATAAATGCATATGTGTGTATGTGTGAGTTTATTTATTTATTGTATCATTAAAGTGTAGTGTATATTGAGATACAACCGATAGAGTAGGTAATTGATTTGACGCTATATTATTTAAACCCAACTAAACGCTAAATTGTACATTCCGAAATAACAATCATATTATGTCAATTGCCACCGGAATATCTGGTAATATTTTTCTTTTTCTTTGCCTTAATCCCAACTACTTGGGGTCGGGCACCCTTATCCTAAGATTCCACTTGACACGATCTCCCACATCTTCTACGCTCACATCAGCTGTCCTCAAATCGCATTCAATAGCATCCCTCCATCTCTTTTTTGGTCTTCCTCTATCTCTTCTTCCTTCAACATTCATTTCTATAACTGTTCTTACAGCTTTCGATTCTTCTTTCCTCATACCATGACTAAACAATCTAAGTCTATTTTCTGTCATCTTATCCACGATTGACGCAACACCTATACTTCCTCTTATATGCTCGTTCCTTATCCTATCTTCTCTAGTCACTCCACTCATCCAACTAAGCATTCTCATCTCTGCTACACTTATTCTCTGCTCTACTTTCTTATCAACCGCCCAACACTATTAACCATACATCATAGCTGGCCTCACAATTTCATACTAAATTTAAAAACTATAATTAGTATTTATTCATATATTATATTTTAAAATCAAAGAACTACTAATCAGGATATAATTAAAGAAATAAGAGTTCATGTTGCTTTTAAAATATTTCACCAATTTCTCTAAAGGAAACACTATCTACAGATTTGCATCGAAGCGTTTCTTATGATAGTGATTTTAATCACTGTCAGATATCATCTATACTTGTCCCATCTATGCCTCGTCCACACTGTGCCTCGACCCCACTGTGCTACCGTTTTTTTTTATTTATATACTGATTACAAGTTTTATAATTTATAAGTGTAATATATGAATAAATATATATTTATATAATATAAATATTATAAAGGAATTGGTGTTATTTTAAAAAAAAAAGTATGTTGAATGAAAGACGGATATAAATATTATTTCTCATAAAAAAATTGTGTTGATCCATACACTTTTCAATTATTTTTCAACNAAAAATTGTGTTGATCCATACACTTTTCAATTATTTTTCAACTATTTCAATGTTAAAGCATTATAAAGTTAAAAATGTAAAAATAAAATTGAACATTTTCACACACAAAATAGCATTTGGTAACTATTTTCATTATATTATAATATATTACATTATCTTTAATTTAAGATATATATAAAAGTGTCAGAGATTCCATAACACTTTCAAAAGTTAATTTTTTATGAAAAAATGTCATTTTAAATCCTCCCCAATGAGCAGGTAAGATATAGAAAAAAAAAATACCAAATGATAAGTAAAGACAACTTGCATCTATAAAAAAAAAAAAAATATTTGGTCATTTTTAAAAAAGTTATGGCTGTTTTAAGTGAAAAAAATTGAAAAATTTAGCGATTTTTAAATTTTTTGGAGATTTCCCCCATTTACGGGGAACAAGGGAAATTTATTCAATTTTTGAGGGTAATGTCTTCGATTAGATACAATATGTGATCTTTTGACGTATCGTTGAAAGAAATCGGTTTGGTGAATGCTGAAAAAAAGTAATAACAGACAAAAAAAAACACATCATAGTAAAACTAATACCTTCTCAGCTTTGCATTGAAGCTAAAACAATTTATTAGGTATTTTTTTTATTAAAATGTATGAAACTATAATAGTTTACCTTGTTTAGCTAACCATGATGATAGTTGATGTGATATTGGTGGTGGTTGGAATGTAAGTGGGTGAGGTAGAGAAGGTGAAGCAGTTGTTGATAAATGATGTTTTTGAGGTGCAGGGGCTGCAGGAGGTAAATGGTGATATGATGGAAATCTTCCTTCCGACATGTTTAACCTAATATAAGTTAAATAATAACTTAATAAGTGGTTATAATAAAAGAGTTCATTACAAAAAAATTGAAAATAAAAATTAATTATAGTACCTATATAAAAACAATAATAATTAAAAAATAATACTGTAATACTCATTAATAAAAACTGAAAATAAATATATATATATATATATATATAATCTCAAAAATGTATACCAAATTAAATATATGTTGTCCACTAAATAAAAATGATAGTTTTACAAAATAAATGTTTGGTTCACTTAGTCTTGAATTCATGTTAACATAACTTAACCTTTAACAATTCTTTAAAAACTATGGTTTTTAAGTTCATTTGACATTTCAGACTTATTAGAAAAACAATAACATGCTACAGATATTAGTAATCTTTAAATAAAACTAGGAATTATACAAAACAATAATTTTAAGTAAAGCGAACATTCTTTTACTCAATATAATTATTAGGGTCAACGGAATGCCATTGGGGCCATGGTCTCACCATAGCTATGTCTCTCATGTTCTCTTTTATCAAACTCATATTCTATATATTCCATTTTACTTTTACCAAACCTTAATTTATTTCCCTTAAGAACTAATGTTCCCTCACATGTTAAGCCATTAGTTAACTTCCGCCCTATTCTCCTATTAACTCTACAGGTTGATAGATTAAGGATAAGAAACTCTTTTTTCTCAGAAACTATTGAACATTTTCAGTTTAGATAAAAAAATATATTGTTTAATTTAAAAAACTCTACAATATTATGTAGTTAAATAATTTTTTTCCATCCTTTCTGGGTTAATGATTTCAATTTCAATTTTCTTTAATAAGAACATTAATTTTTAGTAAAAAAATGTGATAGAAAAATAAATTTCAAATATTTTTGTTTTTATAATATCTTTTTTTTTAATTTTGATCAATATTTTATTGATAATTTGTTGTTTAGCATACTGCAGTAGCCATTACTTCATGATTGCATAAATCATAAATATCATAAAGTCAATAATCATAAACAAAAATCAATAATCATAAAGTGATGTTGCATAAACAGGTTTTTCTTATTATCATATCTATTATTTACTAGAACAAAAATAAATAACAATGATAATTTATAAGCCACTAAAACAAATTATTCATATCTCCAGTACTATGAAAATTATATTAATGATAAATTTCTATTTTAAATCTGAATCTTTAAAAAAAATTTAAAACGGTTGGGTTGGATTGAATAAAAAAAATTATTAGAAAAAATTTGTTTGACATTTTTCTTTATATCATATTATTCTACTAATAATTGGGGTCTCATTAAAGAAAATTAATGTTAATGTTTCTTTTGTTAAATGTTAAAAAAAAAATGACTCAACTACATATTATTGTAGAGTTTTATGAATCAAACTATATTTTCTTATATAAAAGTTGAAAATATTCAGTAGTTTCTATGAAAATTATTATCTTATCCTTAATTGATCACTCTGTATATCATCATAATTTCATCCATTACTATAGAAAATAGATAAGGGCATAAAGCAGAAGCTAGGTGTATACCTACCTTAACTCTGAAATTCTGTTTTTCACACACTTTTCATATTATTACAAGTACTTTAATAAATATCTTCTATTACATAAATTTACATTATTTAACTCCTTATCTCTTTAAAATTTTTCTCCACAATCTGCCATATACCTTCTCTATTTTAATTTTCTTAAAAAGTTTTTTCAACCAACTTATGCATAGATCCCCTGACATTTTCCACACTTCTACTGGCGACACTTTATCAAGCTCTACTGCTTTTTTCTTTTTATTCAATTTCACAGCCTCCCATTAAATCTATGAGTCCTTAATTCCACGATATAACTATTACAGCATCTCTTGTCTACTCCACATTCAGTAATTTTTCAAATTTTTTTTACTTTTTTCATCTCTTTTTTTGTATCCTCATCATTTGTAAACACCCTCTTATCATTTTTTTACACCATTTATTTTAAATATCCTTGGATCTTTATATTAAGTAAACTTAATATTAAAAAACCCTAATTGAAATACAAATTATGAATTACCTTACGGTTAAGAATACTTTTATTGAAATTAGAAGATATTAGATGATCTAACCGACTCTTTTTGGAGTAGTGACGCCCATTTCCTAAAGCAAACGTTTGGTGATCATATTTTTAAAAATGATTATATGAACCAATACTAAATATAAACTTTAAAAAATGTAAAAGATTAAAGAAAAACATTGATAATTATCAAATTTGAATGTAACATATCGGTACCATTTGTTGTTGGTAGTATCGAGTATTTTGTAATCTCACCAATAAATTTTATCTTTATATTAGTACATCACCAATAAAATATTGATACCCTAATGGACTACTTCTCCTCACCATATTTGGCTGCACTACAAATTTCTATATTAAAACGTCTTTGGAAACCTTTATGTTTTCATTGATATACATGGGTGGGTAACTTTTGTTCCAATGAACATTGAAACAAAAGTTCAATGGATCAAATAAGACTTGGAACAAATAGATCATTGAAAAAAGATGGAATTTTATAGATTTTTATAAAAACACTTTTGAAATAAATGTTAATTTGTAAAAATAGTAACGGGAAAAAATTATCAATTTATAATAATAATAATATCATACCTATTCTGCAATTAGGAATGTCGAATTGTATTGATAAATAATGTTACGTAATTTTTTTTTGGAAACGCTTTATTCACTTAACATCATAGAAAAGATTTTATTCACAATTAAAATATTTTTATAATAATCACTGTCAGATATCGTCTATACTTGTCACAACTATGCCACGTTAACACTGTGCTGCGACCCCATTGTGTTATCGTTTTATTTAATCATTTTACCTTATTATTAAAATTATAAATAATTCTTCTAAATGTTAAACAGTGATGGAATATTACTTTATATTTATTGGAATGTTTGATTAAATTAAACACTGTTATTAATATTTAATTTAAATGAGTATTACTCAGAATAGAGATAAAATCTCTGTATGCGGTAAAAACTGTTTTCCAATAATTTACTGTTTCATAAATTTTTTTGATTAATTTAAGTTCCTATGATATTAATTTGTTATTATCCTATTTGTATTACACGTATGTTGCTATGATGGCCTTACCATTAACATGTAATAGTCATGTGGAACTAATAATAGATAGATAAAATATTATATTTATGAAAATGTAATAATATAAAGATATAATTAAAACAAAATAAAAGGTTTAAAATAAGAACAAAATAAAAAAACAATAAAGTAATAAGTGACAGTAAAACTTATTGTCAAAAACATATAACAAAAAATGAGATTACCTACAATGCTCCCGAGGAACTTTCTCCGACAATTCAATCCATTCCGCCTTACATACTAAAAAATTTCATTTTTCTTTTTAAAAATCTAATTCAAAGTTTATAGTTCATTAGTTTTTAAAAATGTTTAAAAATATATTTACTTCCCTCTTTAAGACGATAGACTGTATTAAATTGTTAAACGAAATAGTCACAAAAGTAAAAGTGCTAAGGCGATCTTAAAAAATGTCAATGTTGCTGTCACTGGTCAAAAAGTAAAAAGAACAGATAGCCATGGCTGAGCTCTAAAATTTTATTAAATGATGCTGCAGTAGTGGCAATTAGGCAAAGGCCGACAAGATGTCTACTTGTTTCAAATACCATAAGACAGGACATGTACCCCGAGAGAGCCCTGCTAGGCAAACAACAGTAACTTGTTTTATAGTATTGAGACAATATTCAATTAAGAAACCTATCAATTTTGTCACATGTCTTTCTATGAACATTGAGGAGCTGAGTTGTACAAACATAACAGTAAAGAAACTGGAAGAAGTAGAAAGCAGCATAATGGAACAAGTAATGTCCTTAAACATCTGTTTTCTGTATCAACTAGAAATCACTGTCTTTTTTATATTATTTTGAAATATACCTCTTACTACCATAATCATTCCCTGAATAGAATAGTTCATTTGCTAAAGAACTTGTAATTATTAGCAACCCACTGATGCTGATTGAACTTATACTATTAGTATATACATTAGGGTGGCCCTCAAAAATCGAATGTCTTTTTTTTCTTAAATAACTCAAATATTCTTATCTTTAATAATAATATAATTGGTACTATCTTAAAGTAATTCAGTAAACCAAAATTGATATATTGATACGACAAAATAAAATAATACAATCAATTTTGTTAAATTTGTAATTAATCATTAATTAACTGTCCATAAAATAATAAATCTAATATAATTATCGTACTTGGCATAAAAAATTTAACTTCTAGAATCTTTTTTTAAACGAATATGCGTTTTCCAAAAAATAAAATGAAAATAAATAATTAAAAATCAACAAAATCAGTTATAACGTATTTTAAGACTTTTACATGTTTTTTACTGTATGTAGTGTTTTTGTGGGCTATTTATTGAGAAAACAACATTGAAGTTATTATTTTTGAATTTCTTTGTAAAATTTCTTTTACTTGAGTTTTACTTTTATTATTCTAAGTTAAGAGAAAAAAAAGTTATGAGACATAGATCAGTTATTTCTATTAAATTTGACTCTTCGACTCAACTTAATAGGCCCCGGGGCACGGGTTAACCTTAACGGATCGGTCCCAAATTTTGCACAGCTCATTTTTTTGACCATTAAAAAAAAATTAAGGGGTAGCGTAAAAAAAAAAAGACATTCTATTTTTGAGGGCCACCCTAATATACATACATATTGTTTTCTATTATCTCCTTATTACCTTAGATGTTATAATTTAAGACCTATAGATGTATTATTTTATATCTTGAAAGTTGCCGTTTGACGTTATATACATAAATAATAATTATATCTCTATATGTATAATTTTTCCCCTATCATTATTATGTAATAATTTATATCAAAGTTATTAAATTAGTTATAAGAATTTGTTCTCATAGTTAAATTTTCAGATTAATTCATATTAATTTGTGATGCATGGTAAAGAGAAATGTTCTGCTGTGATAGGATATGATATTCATATTTTATGTAGGAAACTCAATTCTACAAAAGATTTGTCTCATTATATATACAGAATAATTTTTTTTTGTGTTACTTCTAAGGTAATTTTGATCTACTGTTGGGTTTGGTTGGGTAACCGAACAGTAAGAAAAAATGATCACGCGATTAATCGTCGTTTATTCATATTATTGTTATTTTTTTATGTTAGAATATTTTGAAAAGATACTATGCTGTTCCAAAATAAAAAAAAATTTAAGACGCATTTAAACTGAATCAATTATTTGTTTTCATATATATATTTAAAGTTGTTCTTTTGTACATAAATATATTTTAGTAATGTGAATAGTAATTATTCGATAATTTTTTAAATGTTTTTATAATTACTGCTATACTCATCTGTGCTCTACTTTTTTATCAACCGCCCAACACTCTGAACCATACATCATAGCTGGTCAAACTACAGTCTTGTAGAATTTACCTTACAGCCTTACTGGAATTTTTTTATCGCATAAGACAACAGACGCTTCTCTCCACTTCAAGTTTGCTCACTAAAGGTATGCTGAATTTATCAATTAATATTTGTCAGTCGTAAGAGGCGACTAATGAGATTGTGTCATATAGTATACAAAGTATCCAGTGTAAGATAAGACATTAGTAAATACCAATAATTCCGTTGCGAAAAAACAAACCTTTTCGATAAAACTGAAAAGAAATTTCTGGTCATTGATAAAAAATACTTTTTTAAATTTTTATCCCATATTTATCAGTTTTTACTAACCAGGCACAAACTACTTAAAATAAATAAAATGGCGATCATTAAATTATTAAATACTATTATTAAATGTATAATAATTTATTTTAAGTATTTGTTCATTATCTCTTTGTTATAATTAAGTTAACTTAATAAAAATTTTAGGTAGAACTATTTTAATAGTTTTTAAAATAATTCGAATAGTTATTCAAATTATTGAATAGTTTTTTAAATATTTGATAGTTAATGCTATAAATATACTAATGTTGTATAAAAACAATTCCGAATAGTTATTCTCATCGCTATAATATATTTATTAACTTTGATGCAAAGCTGAGAAGGTGTTGGTTTTGTAATGATATGCGTGTTGTTATGTTTGTCCACGAACATTTTCTGCTACCACTGAACATATTTTAAAATAGTTGAACCTATAGAGATTGAAAAACCTCCATTTTAGAAATGAAGAAAAATATGTCAAAATTACATTTTCGTAAAAAATTTATTTTCAAAAAAATATATTTACCTTAAAACTTTTTTCTTAGAACTTTGATTCTATTGAAATTATAACTAAGTAAACTAGAGACAATAAATTTTCTTTTGGTGTTCATAAAAATTTTATTGAAAAACCTGAGTACAAGAAGTTTTAAAAGAGATCCCCAACACTTGTGAAAAAATATTTTCAGTTAAATTTTTGAGTGTTAAAGAACGTATGCATAGTTAAAATCTACATCAAATCAAAGCTCTTGAAGTGTACTACAATATTAAAAGACGGTAGCATAGTGGGGATGCCTGTAGTTGAAAAAAATACATAAAAAGTCTAGTTAATCACTTAATTATGTCGTAATAAAAAACAAACCACTAAGAGATGTGAAAATGAGTTGTACGAAGATGATGATGATTCCGCATAGACTTTCACGTACGTGTGGTCCTACAGCAGTTGCCATAATCGGCTAACACTCCGAATTGGCTATGGATATCGAGAAGTCTTTTTTATAGGAATGGATAAAAGGTAAAACTTAATTATGAGGTGCAGACGAAGTGCAAAACATAAATATTCTAAAATGGAGAGGACGAAAGTAAGTGAAAAGACATAATTGAAAAATATCATTGCATTGGATAAGACATGAAAGAAGGGTTCATTGAAACAAATTAAGTAAAGTCAAAATTTTGTACATAAATTTTAATTTGTATTTATACCTTATTACGAGTATAATTATTAAAGATGTCATTCAATTATAAAACCGCCAATAATCTATTTTCCAAAATGTCTGAATTCTTATCAATAATTCTTATCATAAATCAACATAATTGACCTACAGTAAATTGTAAAATAACCACGAATAAGTCGATTCATTTTTTATAATTTACTGTAAAAAATAAATTTCTGGTTGAAGCGATTGATTTTTGTTAACATTGCATTTCGATAATCAAGAATTTTTAAGTGTAAGCCCGAGTACTAATTATATTAAAATGTTCGTTATTTCAATATTAGAATTTAACTAATTTAAGATTTATTCAGTAAATAACTGCGTACAATTCAATAATGACGTCTAGAAGTGATCCTAACTATTTGATCAATAGAGTACGACGTACTCTTGATAACTCCCTCAGAGATGAAAATTATTACATGGCACATCAATTATATAAATCACTTTACTCTAGGTATACATAATTTTTATAAGTAAACCTTATAATATGATGGTTTTTAAGTATACATATATATATAAATATATTTATAAATTATCAATATATTATCAACAATTATGTATAATTATTGTAGATCAATAATTTTTTTTTTTATAGATATTTAGGAGTTCAAAAAAAAGAAGACGCTATTAAAACTCTATTTGAAGGTATTATTGTTCTACTTGAAAATAATCAGGTAATTAGGTATTAATTTATGTTTATCATTATTCATATTTAAGATATAACAATATTTCAGAATGTAAGTGCTATAGATTTGAGTCAAGTTTTTGCAAAATCATTATCTACACATCATATCATTCCAAATGATGAAATTTTTAAATATGTTAAAGAGTATGTGATGTTATTTTATTAAATATTTATAGGTATATTAATAATTTAATGTTTTAGAATATTTAAAAAATTTGGACGCACTTTAAGTTTAGAACGCGAATCAATGTTATCAATTGTTTTACAATGGACAATTGAGTTTTGTCCAGAATATCCTCATGGACATCCTAGTTTACATAAGTGTATTGGCTTTATATATTGGTCAGGTAATTTTAATGCTAATACCTTTTTATTAATTTTGAATAAACATAACTTCGTTTTAGAATCAAATTACTCTTCTGCACAATATCACTATCTAAGGTCTACAGATGGTATTGGATTTGCTGCTATGTTAGTTGAGTTACATAAAACTAGAGGGTTTAAACATGAAGTTGATTTATTCATTGCACAAGTTGTCTTACAGTATGAAACAGTAAATTACAATAAACTAATTTACACCAATGTGATTGGCTTATTTTTATTTTAGAGGTTTATGTGTTCGAAACAAAATTATAGCGCAAACTACATTTCAATCATATACCAAATTACATCCAGCCATTAATGACAAACCTCCATACATATTACCACTCCTTAATTTCATATGTTTTCTTTTGAAAATTCTCGACGGGTAGGTAATTTAACAAACGAGAGCTATTGAATTGCTTGATAACGGAAAGTTTTTTTTACATTTTTAATTTAATGTAATATATTTTTTATATGTTTTATTTAAGTGGCAAGTTAAAGACATACATAGTTTTGTGTGAACAGTATGAAGCATCATTAACTAGGGATCCTAGTTACACTAAATATTTAGATAAAATTGGACAGTTATTTTTTAATGTAAAGCCAATTGAAAGAAGATCTAGGCAACAAAATGGTTTTTTAAGTATGTATTTAAATAATATCATTGACATAAATTTAATTTTTAGAAGGATTTGTTGAATTATTCCAAAAGCATAAACAACTCGTATCTCCTTAATTATCATTTGATTACAAGTTTTGTGATTCATAGTATAACACATGAATAAATACTTAATATAGTCATTCAATTTATTATGAAATTTAAATTAAATAATTTAGTATTGTAATTTTTATGAAAAAAATTATAATAAGTTATAAAGTTGATGAATACAGAGTCATTCTTTTAATATAGCCACTCAATTTATTGTCAAAAAAACAGTACAGTGTGGATGTGGCATAGTTGGGACAAGTATAAATGATATGTGACAATGAATAAAATCACTTTCATAAGAAATGCTTCGATGCAAATCTGTAGATAGTTTTTAATTTCAAGAAATTAATGGATTATGCCAAAAGCAAAATGAACTTCTATTTCCTTATTTATATCCCAATTACAAGTCTTATGATATATAATATTTGAATAAATTTAAATTTATTTTTTAAATATTTAATAAATTTGTTCAACTTTGATTGAAAATTTTAAATTGGCCATTTACATATAAAAGATAGATCGTTGGAACATTTTTTTTTTTAACTTATACTACGCTTCAATTTAACATATATTTAAAAGATGCTATATTTCTGGAACATTTTTAAAGTTAAGTTGAAAAAGTTCTATGTTTTATATGTATGTTTCAAGATTTGAATGCCCCATATATAAAGGGAAATTGTCTGTTTAAAAAAAAAAATTGTGTTAATCTATACATTTTTTAAAAAGTTATAGCAATTTTATATTTGAAAATATAAAATCGAAAATTTTAACATTACAATAACATGTTTTAACTACGACAGTCATTTGCACATACAATATAAGTCGTTGGGACAAATTTTTTTTTTTATTTATAGTACATAACAAGCTTTAATTTAATATACGTTTAAAGGACGCAGTATTTACGGAACATTTTCAAAAGTTAAGTTGAAAAAATTTTTTATATCCATCTCTGTAGGTAGAGAAATAGTCAGGTTTTCAAAAAAAATTCTATCGAATAAAAAGGAAATACATAAGGTTTCTATATAAAAAAAAAATTATTTTAATTTGTTCATTTTTGAAAAAGTTAAGGCAGCTTTAAGAATAAAATATGTCAAAATTTATAGATTTTAAAAATTGTAATTTTTTTAGAGATTGTCCCATTTACACAAAATGAGAAAATTTTTTCAGTTTTCAAGGGCAATGTCTTATAGTAGATACAATATATGATTTTTTGACTTATTTACTTTTGATTTACTTGAAAGAAATTACTTGATAGAATAAAACACATCATAGAAAAATTAATACCTTTTTGGTATTTTATAATTTTATATATTTCTTGATTTATTACTCAATAAGTTTTTTTAAAATTTCCCCTAAACTTATAAGGTTATCATATTTTTTTTTTAGCTTCGATGCGAAGCTGAGAAGGTATTAATTTTACTATGATGTGTTTATTTATTTATTTATTTATTTTTTGTTTGTCTGAATGCTCAATCTCAGCTTTTGCTGGACCGATTTTGATGAACAATACGTCAAAACATCCCAAATTGTATCTAGTCTAAGACATTATCCTCAAAAATTGAAAAAATTCCCTTGTTCCCTGTAAATGGGGGAAATCCTACAAAAAATTACAAATTTAAAAATCGCTAATTTTCGACATTTCTTCAATTTTTTTTATTTAAAACTGCCATAACTTTTTTAAAAATGACCAAATCAATATAATTTTTTTTTTTTTTAGATACCTTAGATATTTACCTATCATTCTATATATTTTTGTGAACATTTGACCCTTTAACAGCCCACAGGAAGAGTTTGAAAATGATAACTTTTTTACAAAAAATTAACTTTTTCAACTTAACTTTTGTAAGTGTTCCGGAAAGACTGACACATTTATATATACCTTAAATTAAAGCTTATGTAATATAATTTATTTTGAAAAAAAAAAAATTTGACTTCTGGAATTGTCTTCACTGTGAAAACGAATATCAAAGTTAAAGAAAAAAGTACGATTTCCGTGAAAAAATTCTCGATTTTATATGTTATATTATTAAATTTATATTGCTATAACTTTTGGAGAAATGTATGGATCAATATTATTATATTTAAAAAATAATTTTTATATATCCCTTTCATATGACACACTTTTTTTGTAAAACGGATCATAGCCCTTTATACAAGGGAGATCAAAACTTTAAACATGCTTATTGAAACTAGGACATTTTCAATTTATTTTTTGAAAGTCTTCCAGAAATACTGACACTTTTATATATATCTTAAATTAAAGCTTATATAATATACTTTAATTTGAAAAAAAAAATTTGATCTCTGGATTTGTCTTCATGGTAAAAATGACTACCGTATTCAAAAATTTGCTATTTTTGTGTTAAAATTCTGGGTTTTGTATTTTATTTTAATTAAAAATACCTGACAAGGGGAGTACAGATTTTCATAAATATGATATAAATAAAAAATTAATATAGCATAGAAAGTTAAACTTATTTAAATTTTTTTGCTTTTTGAAGTCGAAAAATTTAACTTTGAAATTTGAACTAGCTTAAATAGCTAATCTTTTCAGCCGATGGTAGAAACGTATGGTTGCCTAGTTGGTGAAACTTGTGTTTTACACGCTTGAAATACCAACCCGCATATGGCAAAAAAATTATTTGCATTTTTTTTTAATTCTTTTTAAGTTAGAATAAATTTTCAAACTGCTTTGATTTTTATCTCATTTAGATTCAATAACTTTAATAAAAATCAAGGATCCCATCACTGTAATCGCCTCTTGCGAGAAGAAATTTCTTATTCATGTTAAAATTATTTTACTATATTTTATGTTTTAGCTTCGATGCTAAGCTGAGAAGATATTTTTTGTGACTATTATTTATTTTCTCTGCTTGACCTACTATTTTCAACAATACGTCAAATGACTACAATTCGTATTTAGTTGAAGATATTACCCTAAAAAATTGGAAAAAAATTCTAATTTATCAATTAAACAGTTACATATCATTATATATAAAATCATTAATTTCTAATGTTTTCAAAGTATTTATTGATGAATTAAGTTTGATATGATAGGTTTCAACTACAAAATTAAATCATTTTACTTTGTAATTTAATAATTTTTTTACTGTATTTGTGTGTGCTACTACTAGACTATAATATTACATATTTTTTATATAAATATTTTATATTATATAAATCAAATTGATATAGCATAGAAAGTTATTTAAATTTTTTGCTTTTTTTAAGTCAAGAAAAATAACTTATATATACTTCTTTCATTCAACATACTTTATTTTTAAATCGGACCATTTCCCTTTATACAGGGGGGTGCAAACATTTTAAAATGCGTATAGAAAGTAGAACTTTTTCAACTTAACTTTTGAAAATGTTCTAGAAATACTGACACTATTATATATATCTTAAATTAAAGCTAATGTAATATACTATAATTAAAAAAAAAAAAAATTGACCTCTGGATTTGTCTTCATTGTGAAAATGACTACCGTATTCAAAAATTTGCTATTTTTGTGTTAAAATTCTGGGTTTTGTATTTTATTTTATTTTAAAATACATGACAAGGGGAGTACACTGTTTTGGATAAAAATTTTATAAATAAAATTGATATAGCATAGAAAGTTAAACTTATTTAAATGTTTTGCTTTTTTTAAGTCAAGAAAAATAACTTTGAAATTTGAACTAGCTTAAATATCCATTTTTTTCGGACAAAAGTATCGACGTACGGTTGCCGAATCGGTAAAACTTGTGTTTAACACGTTGGGGTACAAGATTCCAACCCCCGCGTATGGCAAGGAAATTTTTTTGAATTTTTTTCTTAATTCTTCTTAGAATAAGTTAGAATACATTTTCACCTCATTTGATTCTTATCTCATTTAGATTCAATAATTTCCATAAAGTTCAAGGATCCTATCACTGTAGTCGCCTCTTGCGAGAAGAAATTTCTTATTCTATTTATTATATTTATATTATGGATATATGGACTTTTTTATAATAATATTTTTTATGGAAAACATATAGTTCTACAAAATAAGTTTTATGATTTTTTTTATAATTTAATATTTTTTTTTACTCTATTTGTGTGTGCTGCTACTAGACTATAATATTCCAAATTTTTTGGTAACATGTAGCTATAATCATTTCTAAAAAAAATGATTGTTAGTTTCTCTTGAATTAATAATGGATTTTTACAATAATAATCAAATTTTATTATACGTTCAATTGAGTAAATCTTTTTAACAACTTTGTTTTGATTGATTCATTTAGTTAAAGTAAATCATTAAAATTAATTATTTTCTGAATATTTCAATTGCAGAATCTATTGAAACACCAAAAGTTACTAGGAAATCATTATTTTTACTTCTATTTAAGTTATTTATTACAATAAAAATGCAAAAAAATATTGAGCTTTTCTAATAAATTTACAATAAATAGTAATTATAAAACTTTCTAACTGCATATTAATCTTAACGATACAATTTTTTTAATTCTCATTAAATTTTCTATTTAATAATGTCAATTTCAAACTTCCAATTGAGCTAAAAGTTATGGTAAAATAAATAATTTTTTTTTATTATAAATATTAACAAAAATCAACTTTAAATGATTAAAATATTTGGTTAAATATGTCATTTTCCTTATTTTTAACATATTAATAATCAAAATAAGTATTAATTTAAAATAATTTTTTTTTGTTCTTAATTATTTTTTTTTATATGTAAATACTATTTTTTAATAATATTAAAACTTAGAAGTGATAGAAAAAGTCTAATTGCACATTTGAAAACATCGCGAAAAGTTGATTTAGAAAAGTATATTTTTGTTTCTGATGAAAGTTCCTTGTAGTCCAGTGTATAAAATTTATAACTTTGTTAAATGTTATAACTTTATCAAAAATGACCAAATCAGTATAATTTTTTTTTATTTAGATGCATGTCTTTATCTATCATTTGGTTTTTTTTATAAATCTAACCCTTTAAATAAAACTTTTTTTTTTTAGTTAAAGTAAATCATTAAAATTAATTCAGTTCTGGATATTTCAATTGTAGAATATTTTTAAATACCAAAAATTATTTAGAAATTATTACTATGATTTCTATTTAAGTGTTCTATTACGATAAAAATAATGAGTTTTTCTGATAAATATACAGTAAATATAAAATTTCCTGACTGTATATTAGTCTTAAAAATATCATAGTTTTAATTCTCATAAAATTTTCTATTTAATGATGTCAATTTCAACTTGTAATTGAGCTAAAAATTATGGTAACATATTCAATTTTTTTTACTATAAACTTTCACAAAACCTGTCAAAAATTGTTCATCAACTTTAAAAAACCAAAAAAATAGGTTAAAAATGAAAATTTTTTTTTTTTTTGTTATAAACTTTCACTTTAAAGGACGAAATAAAGAAGGTTAAAAATTATTACTTTTAACATATTAAAAATCAAATCAGTTTGAGTTTTTTTCTTTTAATTATTATTTGATATGTAATTAGTAAATTTAATAATTATAATTAGTATTATTCATATATTATATTTTAAAATCAAAGAACTACTAATTAGGATATAATCAAAGAAATAAGAGTTATTGTTGCTTTTGAAATAATCTACCAATTTCTTAAAATAAAACACAATCTATAGATTTGCATCGAAGCGTTTCTTATGATAGTGATTTTAATCTATGCCTCGTCTACACTGTGCCTCGACCCCACTGTGCTACCGTTTTTTTAGTAGTAACATTCATATTTAACTCCCTAACAAAATAAAAAATGATCTAAATAAGAAAATTACTGGTCAATAATTATTTTCAAAGGAGTACTTGAGAACTTATTAATATTTTAGCTTCGATGCGAAGCTTTAATTTTACTATGATGTGTTTTTTTATTTTTTAATATAGAGTTGAAGAATATCACTCAAAAGTAGTTATTAAAATAACATAAACCAAAAATTCTCAATATTTATTTATTTTTCAACTAATTGTTTATGATAAGTGAATCACTCTATATATTAAGGGTGTCCTTTATTTTGATCATTTTCATAAATTCTTACTCTTAGAATTTTTTCTTTATCGTAGGATAAAAAAAAATGATTCCAAAATTTTGACTGCGTATCTTGATATTTACTGATCATAATTTTTAGTACTCTACTTAAAGTCTATATATATATCTATGTTTTAATGTTTCAGACAATATATTAGGTACAATTATGGGTGATTGTGATCATGATTCAGAACCTCGCCCATCATCATCACGTTTTATGGATGTAGAACCTTTAGATTAAACCAGAACTGCCTGAAAAATATTTTCTCTCTTTATAATAAATAACAACCTTATGTATTTTTATTAAAAATATTGTATGCATACAAATGTTTTGGGGTTTGTAATTTAGAATAATATATGATTAACTTAAATCTATATGAAAATTTTTTTTTATATATGTAAGTAGTTAGTTATTGTTTTGTTTATCATTATATAGCTATACAATTAATTAACATTCATTTTTGTTAAATTTTCATTCTTTAATTCTAACAGCTTCAATTTAAATGTTTAACATTATTTTAAGTAGTAATTAAAAATATCTAATGTAATATAGGAATTAATTTTAATAAATTCTCTTAAGTCTTATCTTTATTAGGTAATAAAAAAATCATTAATAAACTTTGGTATTTTATATCTTTTATAGTTATATAATTTATTTAATGTATCACAGTTAGGAATTTTTTCTTATAATTCCTTATAATTATTATTTGAGTATATTTCAAGATGAACGATTTTATATTATTTTTATTCACTGACCCTGAAAAATGTATCTTTATCATCTTATACATCACACCACTACTTTTTTTTTTAATGTATAAAACAATGAACCGAAAAAAAAATGGTTACTTGATAGATGGATCTATCATAATGTTTTTTTTTTTTTATTTAAAAATAAAAAAAAATGTATGGTAGTATGAAAATTGTATAGCTCTATTTTACTTCAAGAAGAATGTTTATCAAAAACAAAAAAATTGCACAGACATTAAAGGCTAAGCAACAAGATAGAGATTAAACAAATACTAATTCCGTCTACTAATAGTAGACGGCATTTTGTTAATATTATGTGTTTAAACATCTACGGGTTTCATCGTATATTCTATTACCGTAGTTTATACAGTGGGTGGGTTCGTTTTTTTTTTATTTATGTTAGTTATATTGGAAAATACACGGGAAAAGTTAATACTAATTGAGTTGCCTTAGTATGATGTTAAATGATTAATTAGTGTTAATTTAAAATTTTATTTTATTTTCAGTCATTTTCTTATTTAGATCATTTTTTATTTTGTTAGGGAGTTAAATATGAATGTTACTACTAAAAAAACGGTAGCACAGTGGGGTCGAGGCACAGTGTAGACGAGGCATAGATGGGACAAGTATAGATGATATCTGACAATGATTAAAATCACTATCATAAGAAACGCTTCGATGCAAATCTATAGATTGTGTTTTATTTTAAGAAATTGGTAGATTATTTCAAAAGCAACAATAACTCTTATTCCCTTATTTTTATCCCGATTAGTTATTTGATTTATAATTATAATATATGAATAAATAATAATTTTAGTAATTAAATTTAGTATGAAATTGATATTATAGAAATAATAATAATTTCCTAGTAACTTTTGGTGTTTTAAAAGATTCTACAATTAAAATATTCAGAAGTTAATTAATTTTAATGATTTACTTTAACTAAAAGAATCAATCAAAACAAAGTTGTTAAAAAAATTTACTCGATTGAGCGTATTATAAAATTTGATTATAATTGTAAAAATCCATTATTAATTCAAGAGAAACTAACAAACATTTTTTTTAAAATGATTTATATAGCAACATGTTACCAAAAAATTTGGAATATTATAATCTAGTAGCAGCACACACAAATAGAGTAAATTACTATGAAATTACAAAGTAATATGATTTAATTTTGTAGTTGAAAACTATTATCATATCAAACTTGATTCGTCAATTAATACTTTCAAAATATTAGAAATGAATGATTTTAAATGTATATATGGAGAATAAGGGACAAGTAACTGTTTTATTGATACATTCGATTTTTTTTTTCAATAATTGAGGGTAATATCTTCAACTAATTGTAATAATTTGACGTATCGTTGAAAAATGTAGGTCAAGCAGAGAAAATAAATAATAGTCACAAAAAATACCTTCTCAGCTTTGCATCCAAGCTAAAACCTAATAATTTTAATATGAATAAGAAATTTCTCTCGCAAAGGGTGATGGGATCCTGGATCCTTATCGAAGTTATTGAATCTAAATGAGATAAAAGTCAAAGGAGTTGAAAATTTATTCTAACATAAAAAGAATTAAGAAAACATGCAAAAAATTCCTTGCTATACGCGGGTTGGAACCTTGTACCCCAATCTTATCCACGATTAACGCTACACCTATACTATTATATGCTCATTTATTATTCTATCTTCTCTTATCTCTTCCTATTTTCTATAAATTAGCTGAACAATAATTAGTTACTAAATAATACGAAAAAAATATATAAACCATCCACAGCTTTAAAATACACGGTGGATTTAATGTTTACAAACGTATAATCCACAATGATGTATACTGGGCAGGTTTCTCTGTATTATTCTCTTATTGTTCTTTTCCTTTAATTAAAACTATAAAATAACTAAATAACTTTGTTTTCAACTCAGATACTAATCCCGTATTTACTAAATTTCTCTTTTTTATTTCCTTCTCCAGTTCCGTTCTCTTTAAATTAAATACCCAGTTTAGTATACTTTTATGTTTCTCTAACCCAGTATCAGCGTCGGTTAAATTATTTTCTTCAGATATTTAGTATATTACAATAAAAAGAATATATTTTATACGAAGGATTTGTAATAATTTTGGTTTAAAGACAAAATTATGTTAAATTTATAAAAAAACTTTGTTTTTAAATAATTTATAGTAGTTATTAAGTTATATTTAATAATAAAGCAAAATATTATTTTATTAGTTTAGTCAAATTACTTTTTCTTAGGAAAAAAAATAGGAATAAATAATTTATAATTTATAGGAATAAAGGATGTAAAAATAATATTCTTATGTAAAAGAGCTAGATGAGGAAAATCACAAGTGAATTATTATATATTATTATTTTTTTTTTATTAGCTTTTCTTCTTCTTCTTCTTTCTCTCTTTAATCCCAACTACTTGTGGTCGGTCACCCTTATTCTAAACTTCCACTTAACACGATCTCCCATATCCTCTACGCTTACATCAGCTGTCCTCATATCGCATTCAATAGTATCCCTCCATCTCTTTTTTGCTCTTCCTCTACCTCTTCTTCCTTCAACATTCATTTCTATAACTATTCTTACAGCTTCCGATTCTTTTCTCGTCATAACATGATCAAACCATCTAAGTCTATTTTCTCTCATCTTATCCACAATTGCGTCAATTACATCTATACTCCCTCTTATATGATCGTTCCTAAATTCTTATATAAACTGATTCTAAATAGTTAAAACTTTTCACCTCTCAAATTTACTATAAATAGTAGTTATAAAATTTCTTGACTGCGTATTAATCTTTAAAATAATATTTTTTAAATTTTCATAAAATTTTCAATTTAATGATGTCAATTTAAAACTTGCAATTAAGCTAAAAAAGTTATGGCAATATATTCAATTTTTTAGCTTCGATGCGAAGCTGAGAAGGTATTAATTTTACGATGATGTGTTTTTTTTTTATTTTTTTTTTTGTGTCTGTTACCACTTTTTCAATCCCCCCCTGTGGGCAAGTAAAGGGTCACATATAAAAAAAAAAATTACCAAATGAAAGGTAATGATATCATGCATCTATATAAAAAAAAATTATATTGATTCGGTTATTTTAAAAAAGTTATAGCCATTTTAAGTAAAAAAAATTGAAAAAATTTCGAAAATTAGCGATTTTTAAATTTGTAATTTTAGCTTCGATGCGAAGTCTCAGCTTCATTAAAAATATTATTAATTTAGAAAACTAAAGAATATCTATACTTGTCCGAACTATGCCACGTCCATACTGTGACGCGACCCCACTGTGTTACTGTTCTTAGCTCTTACTGAACGGATTTCTTTCAACGATATGTCAAAAGATCACAAATCGTATCTAGTCGAAGACATAACCCTTAAAAATTGAAAAAAATTCCTTCCTTCCCTGTAAATGGGACAAACCTCCAAAAAAATTACAAATATATAAATCGCTAATTTTCGAAATTTTTTCAATGTTTTTTACTTAAAATTGCTATAACTTTTTTAAAAATAACCGAATCAATATAATTCTTTTTTTTATAGATGCATGATGTCTTTACCTATCATTTGGTATATATTTTTTTTATATGTGACTCTTTACAGGGGGGGATTTAAAATGACAACTTTTTCACAAAAAATTAATTTTTTCAGCTTGATATTTGAACTTTATTCTTTAATGATAAATACTTTATATATACTTCTTTCATTCAACATACTTTATTTTTAAATCGGACCATTTCCCTTTATACAGGGGGGTGCAAACATTTTAAAATGCGTATAGAAAGTAGAACTTTTTCAACTTAACTTTTGAAAATGTTCTAGAAATACTGACACTATTATATATATCTTAAATTAAAGCTAATGTAATATACTATAATTAAAAAAAAAAAAAATTGACCTCTGGATTTGTCTTCATTGTAAAAATGACTACCGTATTCAAAAATTTGCTATTTTTGTGTTAAAATTCTGGGTTTTGTATTTTATTTTATTTTAAAATACATGACAAGGGGAGTACACTGTTTTGGATAAAAATTTTATAAATAAAATTGATATAGCATAGAAAGTTAAACTTATTTAAATGTTTTGCTTTTTTTAAGTCAAGAAAAATAACTTTGAAATTTGAACTAGCTTAAATATCCATTTTTTTCGGACAAAAGTATCGACGTACGGTTGCCGAATNCATTTTTTTCGGACAAAAGTATCGACGTACGGTTGTCGAATCGGTAAAACTTGTGTTTAACACGTTGGGGTACAAGATTCCAACCCCCGCGTATGGCAAGGAAATTTTTTTGAATTTTTTTCTTAATTCTTCTTAGAATAAGTTAGAATACATTTTCAACTCGTTTGATTTTTATCTCATTTAGATTCTATAACTTCAATAAAGATCAAGGATCCCATCACTGTTGCCGCCCCTTGGGAGAAGACATTTCTTATTCTATTTATTATATTTATATTATTGATATATGGACTTTTTTATAATAATATTTTTTATGGAATATATATAGTTCTACAAAATAAGTTTTATGATTTGTTCTATAAATTACATAGTTTGTAAGATAAATGAAGAAAACTGAAAAACCACCGTTACAGACGAATTTTCAACCCACTTGCGGCACGTGTTAATGTCACTCAATTTCAACCAAATTTTGTACAACTTATTTTTTTATCTAACAGTACAATTCTAGGTACATGATAGAAATCTCTAAAAAAAATTACAAATTTAAAAATCGCTAATTTTTGACATTTTTTTTACTTAAAACTGCCATCACTTTTGTAAAAATAATCAAATCAATATAGTTTTTTTTTTATATAGATGCTTGATGTTTTTACCTATCATTTGGTATATTTTTTTTTATAAATATAACCCTTTACCTGCCCACAGGGGGGAATTTAAAATGACAACTTTTTTACAAAAAATTAACTTTTTCAACTTAAATTTTGAAAGTATTCCGGAAATTCTGACACTTTTATATATATATATTAAATTAAAGCTAATGTAATTTACTTTATTATGCAAAAAAAAAAATTTCGGACTTTATTTTGTCTTCACGGTGAAAATGGCAACCGAATGCTATTTTTGTGTGAAAATTCTCAATTTTTTTTGTACATTTTTAACTTTACTTTAAACTTATTAAAAAGTGTATGGATCAACACAATTTTTTTATGAGAAATAATATTTTTTAATAATCCCTTTTTCATTGAGGATATTAATAAGGAAATAACAGATCATGTAGCTTTTGGAATAATCCACCAATTTTTTAAAATTAAACACTATCTAAAGATTTGCATCGAAGCGTTTTTTTTTTTATAGTGATTTTAATCACTGTCAGATATCATTATACTTGATCCGACTAAATCATGTCACCACTGTACCGCGACCCCCTGTGCTGAGTTTTTTTTTCTTAAAATTATCATAACTTCTTTAAAAATGAACAAATAATATTTTATTTATAGATACTTTACCTATCATTTGATATATTTTTGACCCTATACCTACCCAAAAGGGGTTTTAAAATGGAAACTTTTTCAACTTAACTTTTGAAAATGTTCCAGGAATATTGGAACTTTTATATACACCTTAAACTAAAGCTTATTTAAAATATATAATATGGCTTATAAATATATATTTATTTTGAAAAAATAAATTTGACCTCTGGACTTGTCTTTGTGGTGAAAACGGACATCAAAGTTAAAGAACACATACAATTTCTGTGGGGAAATGGGGAAAATCTCCAAAAAAATTCTAAATTTAAATTCACAAATTATGATTAGTATAATATATCTTTTGGAATAATCCACCAATTTTTTTAAAACTAAACACTATCTAAAGATTTTCATCGAAAATTGTGAAACAGCTCATAAAATATCTATAATGATTAAAAAAAAAAAATTGTTTATAACACAATTTTTAAAGATATTATGTGAGATTTAGTTAGCCGATCACTCTGTATACTACATTATGGAAATAAGTAATGCTTAAGCTTCCCCCTCCAGATGTTATACATTATTTTAACTAGTTGTAGTTTGAAGTAGCAGATCTTTTCTTTTAATCTACAGTTCTTTAAATAACAGTAATTGTGGTGAGACAGCTGGAGTGTTATCAATTGGTTTACAAGTTTAGTGTTATTTATACAAATTATATTAATGATTATTCATTAATTATAATAAATTTTCTTGAACATTAAAAAATGTTTACTTTTTTTATGTAAGTATTGTTCTACATTTATGTTTAATTTAATTAGTATGTATAAATATTGTCATCATTAATAAAAAAAAAAAAACTCAATACATTATATAATCAGTCAAATTACAGTAATAAAAGAAAACAACAGAGTAGGTTAAAGTTAATAATAGAGTCATGTTGAGAGAAAAAAAATACAAGAAAATAAATATTTAAAAAAATTTTTTTCTGTATTCGAATAATTTATAATATTAATTAGTCACATTTTAACATTTAATTATTTATATACAGAGTGAAACCTCATATCCTGACAGTTCTAATAACTTTTTAACTAGTAAATATTTAGATTACTTAAGTAATTATTATACGTCGGGACTATACGTCGTACTCTTCGTTTCACCTAAGTGTAAAAATGAGAATAACTTTCAAAGAACTGGTCCAAAAGTGGTTTTTGACTAATCGTGTATTAATTAGATCATTTTTTATTTTGTGAGTTAGTTAAATATGTATGTTCCATTAAAAAAAAAAATGAAGTTGACACCTCTATAAATTATAAAGGATTATTCTAAAAAGTATCTATTAACTGATAAATCATGAAATATAGTACCAAAAGAAATCAAAAAAATATTTTTAATTTTGTATTTATTTTGAGAATAATCGATTGGTCTATGATATACAGATCACGCTGTATATAAAGTTATATAAAAAAAAAATTACGTATGTATAAAGTTTAAGCAATTTAAAATTAAAAATTTTAACATAAAAATTCCATGTATAGAGGACTTTTGAATGTAAAAGATAAGTCGCCTGGACAAATTTTTTTTAACTTATAGTACGTAATAAAAACCTTAATGTAATCTATATTGTAAAGACCCAGAATTTCCGAAACTTTTTCACAAATTTAATTAAATAATTAAATTTGTATGTAAAACACATTTTGAGTTTTCTTTGTGGGCAGGTAAAGGGTGTCAGATTTTCAAAAAATTTATACCAAAGGAAAAAATAACACCTATGGTAATTATATAAAAAAATTATTTTGATTTGTTCATTTTTCAAAAAATTATTACAGTTTTAAGAAATAAAAATGACAATATTTACAGATTTTAAAAATTGTATTTTTTTTTGAAATTTCAATTTATAGGCACAAAGAAAATGTGTACAAATTTTGAGTATAATGTCTTCAACTACATACAATTTGTGATATTTTGATGTATACCGATAAAAATCGGTCCAATGAGACCTGACAGACACAAAATAAAATATATAGTGTTCAGTAAGTAAGAAAGTGTCTATTGTTCTCATTATTTGTAATAATTGACCTGTTTTCTACTTACTGAGCACTCTGTAAAATATATGTAAACACATCATGATAAAATTAATAATTTTTCAGCTTTGTATCAAAACTACAAAAATCTATTTCGTACAAGTCATATACATTTTTTTTTATCGGTTTCGAAACTCATACAAATTTTAAACCATTTCCAAATTTTAATTTTTAACTTTAGAGACCTATTATTTAAAGAAGACAAGTCATCGAAAAGTCATTATTATCTTTTAATTGTATATTAAATAAAGAAACCTTAAATTTGATACTGCTTTGGACGATTTAGGTATACCGTTGCTATGCTTAAAATTATAAAATTGGGCATTTTAATAAAAAATTGTATGATTTCTGAATTTAATGCCCTTATTTCCAAGAAATCGAAATTTCAGATAGCTTTTCCTTTTTTATCTTAACGAACATTGTATTTTAATTTTTTATTCATTATTTATAAAAATTATGAAAGATTTGTCTAATATTGTCTTACAAAATTGTCTAACAGCTCTATTTACAAAGAATAATGAGAATTGATCACTTGTGGCTAATTAATTAAATAAAATTAAAACTATATTAAAAATATTATTAATTTAGAAAACTAAAGAATATCTATACTTGTCCGAACTATGCCACGTCCATACTGTGACGCGACCCCACTGTGTTACTGTTTTTTCATCAAATAACGTAAATTTTAAGTAGCGTATATTGTTTAATATTCATAATTTTAGCTTTGATGCGAAGCTGAGAAGCTATTGGTTTTACTATGATGTGTTTTTTTATTTTTTTTGTGTGTGTCTGTTACCACTTTTTCTGAGTTCTCATCGAATCGATTTCTTTCAACGATACGTCAAAAGATCACAAATCGTATCTAGTCGAAGACACTACTCTCAAAAATTGAAAAATTTTCCCTCGTTCCCTGTACATGATTATAATCTCTAAAAAAAAATTACAAATTTAAAAATCGCTAATTTTTGACATTTTTTTTACTTAAAACTGCCATCACTTTTGTAAAAATAATCAAATCAATATAATTTTTTTTTAGATAGATGCTTGATGTAATTATTTATTATTAATTTAGAAAACTAATGAATATTAAAAATATTAAACTCAAAAGTCACAAAAAAATTACTGAAAAGTCGCGGATACGTATTTCAGAAACAATGTTACCATTATCAACGCTAAACACATATAAAGAGTAAAATTTTATGAAAATATCAGAAATAATCCTTATAAGGAATAGAGTTAATTGATTGTAGTATCAAATTAGAAGAGGAAGTGGCAAGAAGGTCTACATTTCATTGCCCGAAATACCTACACTACTTAGCGTAGTTTGTAAATATGGCAGATCATTTATATTGCCAAGCAAGTAGAAGCAGTTTATAAAAATATTAGAGATAGTCTTTTAAAGGAATAGAGTTAATTGAAATTACTACCATCAATTGATGATAGTATCAAATTAGAAAAGGTAGTGGCAAAAAGGTCTGTTATTTCAATACCCGTGATACGTATAAGACTAGGAGGAATCTAATGAAAAAAAAAATTTTCCGAGTGAATTCATAACAAAGATGTGATTTTATACATAATGAGAGAGGATTTTGCTGAGAAACGACTTGAAAAAGATATCCAAAAGATATGATTGAGAATCCAAAAAAATTACATAAGATGTACTAGGAGCTAATATAATAAAAAAGCTGTTTATTTAAAAGCATATACATTAACTAAATACGTGTGGGCTCACCGGAACAACTGGATAATCCCGGTAGATCTTTATTAAACTATAGGACTTAGGCTTCTTACCAAATAAGTTACCTATTTTAACTAATAACTATCAGTTATCTTGTATCTATAGAAAAAGTAAAAATATCAAAAGGACGTAAACGAAACGTTTCTTCCTTTAAATCTTTTAATTACACTGTTACACATAAAGATTAATTTTACATAAAAAATTTTTGAACAATTCGATTTATAAAAAATTAAAAAATATTTTGACACCTATATCTCATTTTCGTAAAAACTGTCGCTAACGCCCTTTTACTTATTAAGACTCCATGTTGTAAAGTAGTATTCTATTCTTTTTTCTATAATTTACTAATTGAACAAACAAAAAATTTTTACCAAAGTAATATGTATACATAGATATATATATATAAATTTGAATAAATATTAGTTTTTACACTTATATAAAAAAATTGTTATTATATGTGGTATGTTATTGTCGATAATATAACATTCAACTCTAAAAGGAATTTAGCTGAAAAATATATATTTAAATTGAAAAAAAAGAGTCACCTTTTGAATCACTTAGTACTAAACTTTGTCAGTTAAAAGTGTCAGTTGATTATTTATTAGAAAAGTTTTAATAAACACATAAAGAAAAACTATGAATAACAGACATTTTTGGTATTATTAATTGAAATGTTTAAAAAGTTGGATAACATAGAGATAGACGGAATCAATATAAGTGAATAAATAGTATAGTCCATGACTATAGTCATATATGTAAGAATGCTCTTATAGGATTTATAAATATATGGAGAATTAAAAGAGAGGAACAAATGGAAGTAAAACTACTGAGTGATTTAATAATATAACGCCATATTACATATTGAAATTGATATTATAAAATATGAAATAGATGAAGTAAATTTTTAAATAATAAAAATGTTCATTTTTTTAGTAAAATAGGATTTTATAGAGTTATGAAATTAAACGTCTCGATGTTATGAAGCATTATGTTAATATAAACATGTTAATTGACTTTTTTTGCTCATATATGACCATTTTATAATCAGATTATAATCTAAATAAAAAATGATCTTTATTGTTTCTGTAAACTATTTATTTACACATATACACGGTCCAATAACGGTAATAATCTGTACTTGAAGTATACACACTCGTCTGTTCTGAATAATTGTCGAACACTTAAGCATTTGTACTTTACTAAGGTGGTAATAGTTTACCCTAGTGCACAGTGCTTGTTCTGTGTTATGTGCAACGTGTATAAAAACCGACCTTGAATTTTAAAGTCGGTTTATTCAGTCTATTCAGAGTCTGAATATATAAAAAATGATACCAACTTTTATATTGTAATAATTTTTAAACAATACAATAACTCTTATTTCAGATTTTTGTTTTATTTTCATAATTTAATGATACTTAATCAACTATTAAGTACAATAAATCTGTTTAGGAAGAAATTTATTAAAATTAATGTACTTAAAAAAAAGTATAAAACGTAACAATTATGAAAGCCATTTTATGTAAAAATCATACACTTAATAGTAAATATTGGTGTTATAGCATTTATTTAAAAGAATTATCTACATTATGTAACTAATTGATCAGAAATTAGAAAATCTTCGTTTTGACCTATGTAAAATGGCAAACATACAAAATAACATTTCAAATGTTCTATTTTATAAATTCAACAATAAGCTGACTTAAAAGATAATTTACAACTACACTGTAAAAATGAAATAATGAATGTGTACTGAAAATTTCCACAGATAAAAATTATTTTTTAGAAATATTAGTTTAATTTTATTTTTACTATTTCTTTTATTTAAGTAAAACTTTAAATTTTTTTAACTATACTACTATACATCTGTATCCTTCAAAACTACATCAAATTAAAAACCTTAGTACAATTTTTGAACAAAGCCACCTAAGAAAGTAAAATTTTAATTTATTTGTAAAATTAGTCATTTTTACTAATATAATTTACTTTTATTTTTTTGAATCACTCTTAATCGAGGCTAATAAAAATTAAATTAAACTAATGTCTAAAAAATAATTTTATGTTTATACAAATATATAACATATAATATTTTAAACAAGGAAATGGCTGTTGTCCTGTTGTATTGTTCTGCTAATAAAATTAATAGAAGAAAAAATGGTCAGACTAATTGTACTGACAATAATTATTATTGTCAGTACAATTTTTTAAATATTGAAGTGCATATTAAAGACATTAACTAAAGCTTAAATATTTAAATAAGTTAAAGTTTATTTCAAAGCTTTATGTTATATAAGTTAGAAGTAATCATATTTTTTAGAAAATTTTTAAATATTAATTTTTTCATATACTCAGGTGACTTTGTTCAAATATTTTCTGTACTTAGGTTTTTAATTTGATGTAGTTTTGAAGGATATAGGTATACAGTAACAAGTTGAAAATGCTTAACGTTTTATTTTGAAGACCAATATTTTTTTTAATCATGTAGTATGTTAAGATAATTTTAATTTGGTTTAATAGACTTTTTGAATACCAAAGCTGATTCAAAATTTTCACAACAGGGGGATTGGTTTGTTTTTTAATAGAAAAAAAATGTTGTGTTTAATTTGTATTTGATAGAATTATTTAAAAATTATTGTTCTAATATTATCATTTAATATTTCGTAAATATTAATTTGTTTTATAAGAAATTATAGCATTTTTTAATAAAACTTATTTGAATACTTAGTTTTTAAATTATACACGGTTTCAAAATCACTAAAATTCCAGATATTTAAGCTAACTATTTTAGAGACCTATTCTTTAAATGTATAATTAAACAATATTAGTCTTGAAGAAACTGTGTGATGAACGAAAGAAAATACATTATAGTAAAAACAAAATTTTCTCTGCTTCATATCGAAGCTAATAAATAATTATAAAGTGAGATTCGGAATTAAGTCAACTAATAAGAAATAGAACTCAATTTCTTTGTTCTGTGTATTTACCCGCTTTGAGCTCTATATATTTTTAAATATATACATAGAACCACTGATATAAAATATTACTAAAAAGGAGTATTCTAATTCAAACTACACACAGTATCTGTGTGTAAAACCATCATTTTGTGAATATCCGAAACATGTACAATGAAATTATTTAAACGATAATAAAAAATTATTTATCAACAAAATTTTACAAATATCACATAGAAAATCTGTAACCATTTAGATTTCTTGAAAAAAAATTAGATATTTCAATCTTGTTGAATATAATTATTTGTATATATTTTTAAAATTTAAACATGTATTGTATATTCTGCTATCATATTACTGTGTATAATTATGGGATTAATAATCGTTCTCCAACCGTTCTTTATGGATAGTAAAAACATTTATTACATTAAATAAATTATTGTTTTGGCTATTTCCCAAAGAAAAGTAACATCATAATAAAGATAATAATAGAAATTTTATTTTAGTTGATAAATATAATACATATTTTAAACTTTAAAATAACTAGATACTTTTGAATACATTTACAAAAATTGTTAAACAAGGAAAATATGAATATAATTCATATAAATACTAAGATGAAGAAAATTAATGTACTGATGAAATTTAATTTCAATATAGTGTTGACTTGAACTGGTAGTTTTAATAAAAAAACTAAAAAGGTCACATTGAAAAGACTTTTTTTCAAAGTCAACAATTTTTTCATCGATATATTTTCAATAATATATTTTTTTTAATTGAACAAAATATTTTTTAAATTGATTAATTTCTAATTTTTCTAACAAAAATAACAAGAAATTATCATTCTTTTAACAGATAGGTTATTGGATTTATGTTGATAACGAGTTTATTGATTTATTAAAAAAAATTTTATAATAGTTCAATAATTTAATTCAATTATCCTTAAATTTATATACAATTAAATGGCGTCGATAGCTTTATCACACTTTATTCCAACATTTTTTTCTTAGTTACGACTATGATTAGAAATTTTGAACACGCTACAAATAACAGTAAACACGACTTGTCATCGATGACTGTATTAATAAGCCAAGTAAACAAAATATTGGTTTCCCATTCTTAGTCTCTGTTCTGACACAATGTCCGCCACTCGTGCGTCCACAGCTTGCTCCAACCTTGATTATTGACCGGAATCTTTATAAGTAATATCTTATAGACTATCGTATAAAAGCAATGGCAATTACTACATTAACATCGTGATCTAGCTGAGGGACAAATAATATTTTATCTGTGGTATAAGTATAAAATATTTTTTATATACAAAAGCTATAACATCAACTGATATAAAATATATATTGTTAAACCAAGTACATCTTATGGCACTGTTTTTTGGACCTGTTTATGATAAAATTCTGATATAAGTATTTAACTTCAGTTTTCATATCAATATCATAATAAGCTATGTATAATTTTTCCAGCAAAATAAATTATAGGATCAAATGCGCTAATAAAAAACGAGTTTTCTTAACTTTTCTAAAATTTTTAAGTATAATTTACGATTTATAACTATGAAGAATTAGCCATCAAAAAAAAATTGATTTTTTCATTAAAAATAATAATAAAAAGACAGTTTTAAATTCATTAAAAATAATTTATTACTAACAACTATGATTCGATGGTATTTAATTAGATTATTTAATCATTTAGTTAAGTACAAAATTTATTAGTAGAACTTTTAAAGTTTCTTAAGAAATAAAACTATTTTAATAGACTTAAATATTTAAAACAATATTTTTAACTTCGAGATCGTCTTGCTTGTTATGCAGGACGATTTTTTTTATCATAAACTTACACAATAAATATAATTTAAATATTTTATTTTTTGGTTTTTTATTGTTACCCATTGTTTTTGAATTATTAACTATGTAATACTTTTTAAGTTCATCCCTTATGCCTTGTAAGGATGTCAACTTTTTTGTTTTTTTCAAAGGAAACATATATTTTGAATTTAATAAAATGTTTGAGTTTTTAATTTAATAGTAAATAGCATTTGAATTTTTAATATAACTTTATTAGTTTATAAGATATAAACATTTAAAGTTTCAAATTTTTGAGTTAATAATACACAAGGAATTACAAATTCAGGTAGCTAATTAGTTTTTTATCACATCAATATTCGCAGGTATACAGCATTGTTATTATTAATGGTAGTAAAGCACAGTGTTGTAAGTTTAAAATACACTAACTGACAATACAGAAAGAATATCTATTGATAGTCATAATTGATAATAAACAATCCTTGATTGTGACAACGACGTCATAAACTACCAATTAACTACCTGTATTTGTAATCCCTTGTGTATTATATATGTATATTAACTTAAAAATTTGATACTTTAAATGTTTATATCTAATAAACAAATAAAGTTATACTAAAAATTAAAATAATATTTACTATTAAATTAAAAACTCAAACATTTTATTAAATTCAAAATATATGTTTCCTTTGAAAAAAACAAAAAAGTTGACATCCTTACAAGGCATAAGGGATGAACTTAAAAAATATTACATAGTTCTTAATTCAAAAACAATGGGTAACTATAGAAAACCAAAAAAATAAAATATTTAAATTATATTTATTCAGCAAGTAATTGAGTGCGTTATGATAAAAAAAATCACTGTATACCTTTCAAAAATAATTAAAAATTTTCTTTCATTCGTTGAATAGAATTATTTTGTTATTATAATTTAGTTATACCCATCAGTTGAGCAGTCTTTATTTGGCAGACTCACGTAAAGATAATTATTTCTAAAATTAGCATGATCATAACATTAAATTGTAGTTTATTTTATTTAAGAGTAATAAATGTATCATTAAATTAATAATAATAAAAATTATAATTCAATCATAAAAATGTTTTCACTTAAATAAATTTGTTATATAAAACTCGTAAATAAAAATTAGTAGTTTTATTTTCATTTCTTTTTTATCTTTTAAGTAAAAATAATTACATGTTTTATTTTTGTTATAGATTCAGTATAAAATGTTATCAAATTTTGGTTATATTGAAGTTGACTATTTTAATCGGAGGTGTGATTATTTCAGCAAGTATGTTAATATTTTATTAATAATAATTTATTATTATGTTCAATGATGGCTTATTTTCAATTTTTTGGGAAAAATCTCCTCTTCAAAAAGGTTTTATGTAATTTAGTAAAACCCTGTATTAAGGTTTAAAATAATGAATAACTTTGTTTTCATAAGAATAAGCTTATTTCAATCATTTTTGTAAACATAAGAAAAAATCAAAACATTCTAAACAATTTTTTTGTAAACCCAAATTTTGAAAACGCCAAAAAGATTAACCCAAGTGAAAAAACTACATTTGACGAGGGTTTCTGACTAAATATGTATTACAGCATTTGAAAAAATTTGCATTAATATTTTGGGTTTAAGATAAAGTTTTACTTGAAATGTTTATGGATGTATCCATGTTTTCAGTCATAAGATGATGTTTCGGACTCGTTCATTTTTAGTGCGATCGTTGAAGATCGACTCTGCAACGAGTCCGAATGTCATTTCATAACTGAAAACATATCCATAAACATTTCAAGCTTTACGATAATCCACGAAAGCTTAACACATTCATATCAAGATAAAGTTTAACTAAATTTAATGCTACAAATATTCGGTGATTTGTATCTTCAATTTTACTAGGTACACTAAAAAACTATTTGGAAAAATAAAAAAAAATTTTATAGATCTAATAATATAATATAATTATCTAATAACAATAATATTTTTGTTAAACAAAATAGTACTTTTTTATTAATTAAACCAATTTTTTTATACAATAATTGTAAAAGTAATCGAAAGTAAAGTAAAGTAAAAGTAAGCTAACGATATCGTATCGAAATATCTAAATTTGTTTAGTGGCAGTGCCTTGCTAATTGTTGCTCCTCATATTTAGTATATTTTTAAACCAAATACATTTTATGCAATATGTAATTGTATTCATAGTTTTTGACGCCCCTCAAAGTGTGGCGCCATAGGGCTCTTGCCTTGTTATCCTCGCCTTAACCTTATGCTTGGCCCTTAATAGTAATAATTATCACTATCAGACTTTAATCCATACTAGTGTCTACTATCCTCTACTACTAATCTTTCGGACCGTATCAATTTTATAAATTTTCATTTACGTTTATCGGGCTCTAGGTACTATTATTTACTATATTTAGGTAACTACTATTTGCATTACTTTTCTGTCTACCTAGCTTAAAAATTTCATATAGGAAAAATTTTCATCGCATGAAATTCTGAAAAATATTAATTTTCATTTAAATTTTGCTATTTGTTAACTATGTACAATTGATCATAATCCAGTACAAATTTCAGAATGATATATTTGTGATATATTATATATGATATATTTCTAATTAAATTTGACCAACAATTGATATAGGCATTATTCAAGGGTATTTTTTCCCAACAGTAAATATTATTTTTTAACAATATCAAAAATGATTACATAAATAATATACAATTATATTTTACAGATGGGGCAAATAAAAACGATAATACAGATTATTTAGGTTTGTATACAATTAAAATTTGTTTATAATTATCAAAAAATCTATCGATTTTTATACTATCCTCCTAAGTTAAAAATGAGACAAATTTTAGTTTTGATGCAAAACTGAGAAGTTATTAGTTTGATGATGTTGTTATGATATGATGTTTTAATTTTATATCTGTCACAAACATAAAATAATTTTATGTTAAACTAAGTTTTATGCTACGTCCTATTTATATAAAAATGGCTGTTGTATTTAAAAAATCATGCTACTCTTGTGTTAAAATTTTGGATTTCATATTTTATTTTAGCTTCGATGCAATGCTGAGAAGGTATTAATTTTACCATGATATGTTGTTTTTTTTTTTGTCTCACTTTTTCTCAGCTCTCACCGAACCGACTTCTTTCAATGATAAGTCAAAAGATCACAAATAGTATCTAGTCGAAGACATTACCCTCAAAAATTGAAAAAATTTCCCTCATTCTTCGTAAATGGAGGAAATCCACCAAAAAATTACAAATTTAAAAATCGCTAATTTTTGACATTTTTTCAATTTTTTTACTTAAAACTGCCATAACTTTTTTAAAAATGGGCGAATTATTATAATTTTTTTTTATAGATACCTTAGATACTTACCTATCATTTAGTATATTTTTTCTTTAATTCTTATCCTTTACTTACCCACAGGGGATGATTTAAAATGACAACTTTTTCAACTTAACTTTTGAAAGAGTTCCGGTAAGTCTGATACTGTTATATATATCTTAAATTAAAGCTAATGTAATTTACTTTATTATGGAAAAAAAAAATTTCGGACTTTATTTTATCTTTACGGTGAAAATGGCTACCGAATGATATTATTGTGTGAAAATTCTCGATTTTATTTTTTACATTTTTAACTTTATAATTAACTTTACTTTAAACTTATTAAAAAGTGTATGGATCAACACAATTTTTTTATGAGAAATAATATTTTTTAATAATCCCTTTTTCATTCGACATACTTTATCTTAATTAGGATATTAATAATGAACTAGCAGATCATGTAGCTTTTGGAATAATCCACCAATTTTTTAAAATTTAACACTATCTAAAGGTTTGCATCGAAGCGTTTTTTTTTTATAGTGATTTTAATAACTGTCAGATTTCATTATACTTGATCCATCTATGCCACGTCACCACTATGCCGCAACCCCCCTGTGCTGGGTTTTTTTTATATGTAATTACTTATTTTTTAATAATAAGTAATAATATTTCAACTTAGAAGTGATAGAAAAAGTCTAATTGCACATTTGAAAACATCGCAAAAAGTTGATTTAGAAAAGTATATTTTTGTTTCTGATGAAAGTTCTTTGTAGTCCAGTGTATAAAATTTATAACTTTGTTAAAAATAACAAACAATTTTTATTGAATAGTATTGTATCAAGCCCTTTAAATTTTTATACGCGTTAAAAGTAAAGAAATATACAACTACTTTATTATTTTTATATTATCTTCGTAAAAATTACAATATTAAATTATTTTATATCATTTTTTTTTCAATCCGAAGATTGGTTAAATGACTATTGATGTTTCTCTTCACTTGTTTCTGTTACTTATAATCCTCTTTATCTCCCAGTATGTTCCTATTCCGGTATCTTCTATCACCTGCTTTAGAAATAGGTTTCTGGGCCTTCATCTTCCAGGTTTCCCTTCGATGTTCTCTCTATTATTGTGGTTATCCAAGAACTATTCTTTATTACGTGTCCGATCCATGCTTTTCTCCTCAGTCTTAACGTATTCCATATTGATTTTGGGTATTCATTCTCCTGAAAACCTCATTATAATGAATGAACCCCTTCGCCGGTTACTTAGAAGTGCTAATGTGGATCCTAATTTTATATTATAATAATATTTGTATTGAGTTTTGCAATATCTTATTCGTATTTCGTTTTATTAGTTGTAAACATTTTTTATTTGTCTTTTGTTATTTGTCTTTTGTTATTTGTTTTTATGTAATTTTGTTTGTTTTGTATCTTTCTCTCAAAATTAGTTAAAATTAAATATGTAAACATAGCTTGTAAAAAAAGGGATACATCCCGTAAACTAAATAAATAAATAAATAAATAAATAATTTTTTATTTTTTCCGTCCATGAAATTTTAGTGCTCTTCTCCAACACCATACTTCAAAGGCTTCTATTTTGGATTTTTCAGCCTTTATTATTGTTCAAGTCTCTGCTCCATATAGAGCTACACTACACATAAAGCTTTTTATAAGTGCTTTCCTGGTGTCCAGCTTTATTCTGTTTGAAGTAAAAAGATTTCCCTTTTTATAATAGGCCTGTTTGGCCTGCGCTATTCTACATATTATATCTGTATGGCTTTTCCCATCGCTTCCATTATGGCTAAATTATGATCACTATCTATGTCTGCTCCAGGGAAGCTTTTGCTTTGTTTTACTTGATCTTTTACTAACAAGGATGTAGTCTATTTGATATCTGGTTCCCCCACCTGGCATAGTCCACGTGTACCTTCTACGCTTAGGCTGTGAGAATAAAGTGTATGTGATCACTAAGTTTTGTTCCTTGCAAAACTCTATTAGTCTTTCGCCTCATTGATTTCTTTTTCCCAGCCCAAAAGCACCTGAAATATCTTGTTCTTTTATTTCTTCTGAAACTGCATTCCAGTCTCCCATTATTATCATATTATCCTTCTCTTTTGATAACTTTATAACTTCGTCAATTTGTTCTTATATTTCGTTATCTCCATGTCCTGAGGTAGACATATATACTTGGATAATGAAGGTGTTAACAGGTTTTGTATCCATTTTAATAGCAATTATTCTACTATTATATTGAATAACGGTGTTGACTCTTTTTCCCATATCTTCATTCATGATTATACCTACTCCTGCTATCTTATTATCGTCTCCAGAAAAAAATTACTCGAAAATCATCCGACCAAAAATCACCTTGACCAGGCCATTTTATAACACTCATGCCTAGTATATCAATATTATGACGAATATAATATTTAATATCATACTAAATTTAATTACTATAATTATTATTTATTCATATATCATAATTATAAATCAAATAACTAATCGGGATAAAAATAAGGGAATAAGAGTTATTGTTGCTTTTGAAATAATCTACCAATTTCTTAAAATAAAACACAATCTACAGATTTGCATCGAAGAGTTTCTTATGATAGTAATTTCTGACAGCGATTAAAATAATCACTGTCAGATATCATCTATACTTGTCCCAACAATGCCACGTCTATACTGTGCCGCGACTTTACTGTGCTACCGTTTTTTTTCTTTGTTTATAATTGTTGAGTTAATTATTATTTAATAAATGCTATAAAAAAAATGCAAAAATGTGTAAAATATACATTGTATATTATCTATATTTCAATAGTTATATATCTTTCTCTTCCCTTATATATATTTTTGTATTATTATTATTATTATCATTTTATTTTTTATTTTTCTCTCTTATATTTTAATTAGATGCTAAATATTTAACAATGGAATATTAGAAGTATACTATCTAGGGTCCAAGATTTTTTTTTTCTCATTTCCCAAAACAAATGCTAAGTTCTCCGCCTTCTAAAACTAGGTTATTACCTAACAAGCACTTTGTATTACCTAATTTTCACTAAATTCGTTATGATCCACAAATGGTTACAGCGAAGTCATTATTTTAGTCCATTCTTCTTTACAATTTCGTCCAATTACACTCAAAGATAACCTTAAATAAATGCTTATCTATTTCTCTATTGACCTAGTGGGTATTAATGTACTAATACCTAATAATAATTCTTTCCATTTATGGTTCCTTTATATCTCTCCTTCAACTAGTCCTTCTACCCATATTTTATCAGAACTTTATAATTAGTTTCTAATAACTCTATTATTGTGGGTGGTTTTAATGGCCAATTTCCTGCATGGCGGTTTCTAAATTCTAATGTTAGAGAGAATATTATCCATTCAACCATAACCCAACATAACTACTGTATAATTAATGTAGGTGTTCCTACCAGAGTTAACCATCCTCTTTATGTCGATACTAATGTTCACCTAACTCTGTCCTCCAAATATTTTATTATTCACATCCTGTTCAGTTTTGTGTTATCTTTATGGTAGTGATCACTACCCTATTTTAACATGCTTTTCTGAACAAATACTCATTGTTCAGATTATTTTGACAAAAACTCGTTTTCTAACAATCCTAATCGTAGCTTCTTGTTCAACTTAGATTTAGCTGATTGGACAGCTTTTTCTTTTTTTTTGGTACCTTTTTTGATTTGTTGTTCCCATCTATATTTCCTATTGGTAAATAGAAAAACTTTATTGATATTTTACTGAGAGGTGCCAAACTTTCCATCCTATCTAAACACTTATCTAATAAACGTCATAATTCGCATCCTTCTTGTGGAACTACTTTTCCTATACAATCACAGTTAAAGCCAGATCTTTTCACTTTTAAAAATATAGATTCGGGTTCTTTTCATTACTTTATGTTGTATCGAAAATTGAAATAAAATACCACCAAATCCTTCTCTTAATTTTGAACCAAAGCTATAAAATTACAAACTGTATCATCCGACCTTCTCCAGCTACCAATAACGCCTGGTTTTGCAATAATGTGGCATCTCCATAAGTTTCTAATTTCGACGAATTCATTATTAAATTTCGCACCTTATATACGGTATAATAATACCAACTTTCTATCATCCCCTTTCTGCCGCTAAAAAGTTTCCCTAGCTATCTCTTCTAGAAATTCATTGCAGTCGGTTTAGATAGTATTTCTCCTTTAATATTCAAACATCTACCGATTAAAGTAGTTAATATACTTTTTACTATTTAAAATGAATTATTGATTAATAATATTATTGACTCCTGGAAATACTTTATGGTCATACCTATTTCTAAAAGTGGAGCATGAGTTCTTGCGTATTATCCTATTGGACTTCATTTTTTTGCAAATTAAATAAGTTTATTTTAAAAACACACCTCCATTAACTCCTTAAAATCCTCTATTATCAAACAATTTTTCTAGTTTTCGACTTACTGTAAGCATTATCAAAAGTTTTTATTGCAGTGATTTTGTTTATGTTCGTGGTGTTTTTTATTCAATTCATATACCTTTACTTATCTCACATACTTATTTAATGCTGATGACATAAACATTTTTTTCTTCTAAATCACTTGTGGTTAACATATAATAATGCTCTCCAAAATTTCTCTATGTCTCTTCATTTATCTTTTTTTAATTTTCTTCAGAAAAGAGTAAATCCATTATTTTCACAAGAATACGCATATATCAATATCGTAATATTTATCTTAACAATGTTTGTTAATCCTATTTTGATTATGTCACTTATCTTGGCCCCAAAATTGACTAAAAACCTCAATAGACGTTACATTTTAAATAACTTTATTCTACTTTATCACGTTGTTCTAACCTGTAATGTTTAATTACGAGGACTTGACGTGGCTCCCACTTTTCTTCCCATCATCTTATATTTAGGACTCTTATACATTCTAAAATAGATTATAGATCATTCTGTATTCGTCTGCCTCCACCGTACATTGTAATAAACTTAATTCCCTACTTTCTGTCTACGTACAATCTTAGGTTCAATTAACTCCACCCCAAATGTAAGTTTAAAGGTGGAATGCGTTTTTCCCTCCATCGAAGTTTAATATCAGTACCTTGCTTGTAAATTTCTCATTGAACAGTTAACTTATTCAGTCAACTCATTATTACATTTTTTTCAATCTCTATACCTAATTTAGCGTTTTGTTCCCCACTCTTCCTCTACTTCAATTTCTTCAATTCAGACTTCGTATCTAAATTTTATAATCACTTCTTTTAATTTTTTGCCTATTTATGATCTATTTTATCTTTCCAAGCACTAATTCATTACTCACGTATTAATTTTAACCATACATTTACTTTTTATCCAAAACCACAATAATAATCTTTCTCTATTAATTTTGTCAATAATGTATTCAATAAGCTTATATAATCTAAATTCTCCAATTATTATCTTATTTTTACTGATCATTCAGTCTATCCTAATTCCACCGGTTTCTTCTTTTTATTCCTAATCATACTATTAAGTTCTCAGATTTTCTCCCTCTACAATTTTGTTTTTTACCAGTCCTCTCTTCTTTCTCTTGTAATCCATTCAAAAAATGCAGATCTTTCTTAATTATTAAGATGAAAGTGTTAATTTATAATCTTTTCTACGTAACATTTATTACGTCTTTCACATTGTATTTTATTAATGCCCGATTTCTCCCTTCTTCTATTTTATCTTTATCATGCTTAAGTCCAAACTAATTTTTTAGATACAGATGTCTCAGTTCTTCAAAATTATGACTCGTAAGCTTTATGCCTCTATAATTTCCACACTTCTGTATGCCTCCTTTACTTTAAAATATTGGTACCATAATACTATTTCTCTATTCTTTTATCATTTTTCCTTCTAATAAGATTTTATTAAAAAATCCGTTAACCACCTTATGCCAACATCGCATAATATTTTCCAAAATTCTACTGGCACTTCATCTGGTCCTACTGCTTTTTTAATTTTTATTGATTTTTGTTTCCTTGTATTTTACTACTATTTTCACCAACAATCTCCTTTGCAATATTCTTTACGCAACTAGCAAATCTATTCCACACATTATTTAAATTTGACACCGTCCTCTCTTTTACCATCTTTAAAAACTTTTTTCTTTTTCCTATTTTAATTTCCACCACCAGATATTCGATTCCACTCCTATGTTTTTTCTGTTTTTGTATACTCACTTCCCACTGCATCAAAACTCCAATACTATCAGTCTGTGTTGTGTAGTTACACTTTCGCCTGGTATAACTTTACAATCTTTTAGTCGATTTACGCTCTCTCTCTTCCACATAAAATAATCGATCTGTGATCTATTCCTCCCGCTCTTATAAGTTACATAATGTTCTTCCCTCTTTTTAAAATAAGTATTAACCACATTAAGATCATACGATAGTGTAAAATCCAGGATTCTTTCTCTAGCTACATTCTTCCCACTAAAACCATACCCTCCATGTACTCTTTCAAATCCTATCCTCTCATTACCTACATGTCCATTCATATCTCTATCTATCACGTCATCCTTATTGCCAGGTACCCCTTGCATCACCTCATCCATCTCTTTCCAAAACATTTCCTTGTTAATTTTGTCACATCTTCCTTGTGGTGATAGGCACTTATTATATTCAACACTGTTTCCCTGAAAATTTATTTAAGACTACAATTTGTTACTTTCTTTAGCTACTTCTACAGATTTACATTTCATTTTCTCGTCCATTATTATCCCTACACTATTCCTTGTATTAGACTTCTCTGAGTATAATATTTTATAACCCTCACATATTTACCTTGCTTTCTATCAATCTATTACATTCATTGGAATATTAACTGATCTGTATACCATACTATTAAAAACTGTCATTTTGTGCTGTCTGTTGAAGTTTGAATTATTCATAATATGCCTGAACGTGTGTGTATTTTTTCTATAAATTTCAAAATTTAGTTCCTCTCTACTGTTTTAAATAATAAATTAAAAAAAGGAAATTTTTCCTCTACTTTCTGTTTGTATGTGAATTTAATCGATTTATAAAAAGAATTTAAATGTTGTATGATGACTTCTATATTAAAATCTTTGTTCATTACTTAAAATATCATATACACGATTAATAATTATATGGCTAATAATAAGCAAAACATCAATATAAGTCATATACTAAGCAAAATGATAATAACTGATTATATGATACAAAAATTTCGCTAATGTAAGCTATTTAGACACATAAAAAATAGTGATGGACATTTTCGAATATTTTAAAATATTGAACACTGTTCTATAAATTTTAAAAAACTATTAAATATCTGTTCGGAATTCTAATATGCAATCTAATAGTTCAATAGTATATTTTTATCATAAACTACCAAATATTTAAAAAATTATCAAATCATTTTTATGACTATTTTATTAGACTATCGAATAGTCTTAAAATTGTTAGAAAAGTTTGGCTAACGTGTCGAATATAAGAGTTGTTTTATGACTATCGAATAATTCGATAATAAAAAGTTAAAACTCATTCTATTTATTTTTCCAATTTCCATTTTTTTTATTAGTTTCTTTTTGGGAAAATCTCACGTAAAACTACATTTATTTAAAATTAATTTTTTTAAATATTACTTAAATACTAATTTTTCCTTTGTAAAAACTTGTTTATAAATCGATACTTTACTAAAAATACAATAAAAATGAAATACTTTGGTTTACATAACAAAAATAAAAATTATAATGATGGTTGTAATAAAACATTTCAGAATATGATGAAGGGCACGAGGGTACAGTACGCACAATAACAAAAGATCGTGGTCTTTTGGAACCGTGTGGAGATTTTAGACCCGGCGAAGATGATCTTCAAGTAATTGATTTCATAAGAAAATTTGGTTTAGATTCGAATGAAGAAATTGCTAAACATAGATTTACTAGAGTCCAAGGTTCCAACCATTTTCAAACTGCTTATCGAGTAGAAAAAACGACTCAATTAATCATGTCAACAAGGTAGTATATTACAAAAAGTAAAAATTTACAATAGTTCCTAAGAAAATAAATGTTATCCTTAATTTATCATTCTGTAAACCGACAGTGTTTTATAAAAAGAGCTTATATTACCAAAGCTTAATCTAAAATTAACTTTGTTAAAAATATTGAGAATTATTCTCTATATTATATAATAACAACTGTATTAGTTATAAAAAATCAAAATGCTCTTAAAAAATAATTTATAACAGAAATTATTAGTGATTTTTTCAAGTAATCAAACTAGTTTTAAATAATCTCATTTTTCAATTTACAAATTACATAACCATAAACAATCATGATAAATAATAGGAAAATTTGTAATGCTAAAAGGAGTATACCACACAAAACAAACTTTGACAAAAAAGCCTTTAAAATGTATAATAGTTAAGGGGTTTGTACCACGAGTACCACAACTTACAAGTATAATAATTTAAATTCTCATATTTTTATAAATTAGATTTTCGTAGCATCAATGTTAAAAAAACTTTTTTTGTTCCTTCTAAACAATTTCAATTATGTGGTATATGTTTTTCTTATAAAACATAGATATATTTTGAAATTCAGCTATTATTATTATATAATGTTAATACCAGGGTGAGAAATAATATCTCGCTTACCTCATGATTAATGAGAAATGAACATTGTATTTAAATTTATGCAGAAAGAAGACTTTGTTCAGTACAAAATGACAAATTTTATAATCAAAACATCCGTGTAGTATAACAATAATGAATATAATGTGCTAATAATTTTACATAAATGTAACAGTAACTGCCAAACTCGCCAATCAGATTTTTGTGTACAATTATTATATGCCAATGTTCATTGATAAATATTCTAATCTAATGATTCGCAATTGAACAGTATCAAACATAATCCATGCAATTTAAATAATAGAAAGCATCTTCCGTGTGAATTGAATAATTGAAAATGTCATCTGTGTGAATTAAAATGAAAAAACATCTGTCTGGTAAATAAGGAAAAAAATTATATTATAACTTATAATTAAAAACTATTCTTCTTCTTCCTCGCCTTAATCCCAACTACTTGGGGTCGGCCACCCTTATCCTAAACATCCACTTGACACGATCTCCCACATGATCTACGCTCACATCAGCTGTCCTCATACCGCATTCAATAGCATCCCTCCATCCCATTTTTTGGTCTTCCTTTACCTTTTCTTCCTTCAACATTAATTTCTATAACTGTTCTTACAGCTTCCATTAAACATCTCCATAAAACAAGACTAAACCATTTAAGTCTATTTTATCTTATCCACGATTGACGCTACACCTATACTTCCTCTTACATGTTCGTTCCTCTTATATGTAAATAGTAATTATAAAATTTCCTGATTGCATATATATCTATTTTTTTCTATTTAATAATGTCAATTTCTAACTTGCAAGTTGAGCTAAATTTTATGGTAATAAATTCGTTTTTTTTTTTAAGGAAATAGAAGTTGATGTTACTTTTGTAATTATCCATCAATTTCTTAAAATTAAACACTATCTACAGATTTGCATCGAAGCGTTTTTTATGATAGTGATTTTAAATTTTGTCAGATTAAAACTATACTGGACCTAACTATGCAACGTCCCCACTATGCCTCGAGCCCACTGTGCTGGGTTTTTTTTTACTTTATTTTAGTTACAATTTGTTCTTGAATTATTATTAACTATGTAATACTTTTGAAATTCATCTTCTATGTCTCGTAAGAGTGGAAAATTTGGTTTTTAAATAGGTACACATATTTTGAATTTAATTAGATGTTTAAAGTTTTTTTGAAAGTAAATAGCGTGTAAATTTTAAATACTATTTATTCGATTTATTAGATTACATATAATAAATTACACTTTTAAGTTTCGAACTATTGAGTTAAATTGCGTGTATAACTCATGAAGGTTTATAAATACAGGTTGCTTATTGTGTTTTTACAACGTAACTATTTACAGATATGTAACATTTATTGTCAATTTTGATTTTATCAATAGATATGTTTATAGTATGATAGGTTTTAAGGCACAATATTGTTAGTTATCATTGTACCAATTTATAATTACACCAACTGACAATTTAAAATACGTATTAAATTTAAAGTAATAAGTGCATTTTTATAAAATATTTGTATAAAAAGTGTCTTATTATTAATTAATAAAAATATCCTAGATAATATTATACGAAAAGAAATTATCACTTGTGGCTAATTATTTGAAATTGAAATTATATTTTATAATATTTATATATTCACATATTCTATACGACATCTGTCGTATAAAACACATGTGTGTGTGTAGTGACTACTCGTAGTGTTAAAACGAATCTTAAATCTTAGTCATTGTTAATAATTTTATTTATATTGTATAATAAATGCTTAACATGTCCAGTAAACCGGAANATTTATATATTCACATATTCTATACGACATCTGTCGTATAAAACACATGTGTGTGTGTAGTGACTACTCGTAGTGTTAAAACAAATCTTAAATCTTAGTCATTGTTAATAATTTTATTTATATTGTATAATAAATGCTTAACATGTCCAGTAAACCGGGAACACCGTTAAAAAAATCAACATCGTCTAGTTCACTTCAAAAAATGCTTTGTTTAGATGATATAATGAAAATGCTTAAATCAATGCAGTCGTCCCAAGACACTAAATTCAAAACAATTCAAGAGAAATTTATAAGCTATGAAAATAAGCTAAGTATCTTGAATAAGTCATTTGAAAGCATGATAACATCTTATAATAACGTTGTATCTGAGAATAAAATACTCAAAGATGAATTGAACAACTTACGTGACCGTGTATCATTATTGGAATTGTCAAAAACCAGTAAAGATCCCCACTGATAATGTTGAACAGTTGTTTGTGACTGTAAATAGTGGTGGTAATTTAAAATATATTATTGGTGCTTGCTATATACCACCTGGAAGCTCAGTTAGTGTTTACTCGGCTCATGCTGATACTGTGCAGTCTATTTTATCTAGTGCTGTTAAAACTAATTTTACTTTTATTTTAATGGGAGATTATAATTTAGGTGATACAAAATTCTATAATGATGACCATGGCATGATTTACGATGGCGCTCGATCAGTTAAAGTATATGTTATTTTTGAGTGCTTTTCATCTTTAAACTTATATCAGGTCAACACAATCTCTAATATATACAATTCATATCTGGATATAATATTTTCTAATACACATTTGATCACTGGCAATACCTCAACAGATATATTGGTTCCATTAGACCCATACCATCCGGCTTTGTTAGTTGAGTTACAATGTAGTAATAATTATTAGCATTCATGCCCCTTTAATTGGTATTATAATTTTAAACGTGGTAATTATTGTCAAATGTCTTATTATTTAAGTTCTATTGACTGGTCGATTTTATATAACTATGATGTGATTAATAGTGCGCTTGATAAATTTTATGAGATACTCTTACATTCTATTGAGTTATTCATTCCTAAAGTTTATGCAAAGAAGTTTCCTTTCCCAAGTTGGATTTCAAAGGAACTTTGTCAATTAATACGTAAAAAAAATGCCCTTCACAAGTTTTTCAAAATTAAAAAAGACCAATCAATATATAATGAGTTCTCAGCTATTAGATCTAAATGTAAAAACCTATCAAACAAATGTTATTCAGATTATATTAACCGTGTTCAAAATAATTTAATTGTTAACCCAAAATACTTTTGGAAATTTGTCAAAGATAAAAGAAATAATAACTTACTTCCAAACTCTATGCATTTTGGAAATATAAAGTTAGACAATATGATCAATGTGTCTGAAATGCTTAGTGAGTTTTTTGCTTCTAATTATTCTGTTTCGAAACAAATCGTCCGAACAACGTATTCTAGTATTATTTTACCCTCCTCGTTTTGTATAGCCTCATGTGAGACCCCGGTTCTAAAATTGTTTGAAGAACTGCAACGAAATACGGGCACTACTTACGGTCCTGACCTTGTCCCTGGTATCATTTTTAGTTCTTGTTGTTATCCGCTTACTCGTCCAATCCATTTTTTGTTTTCCTTGTCATTGTCTTCGGGTGTTTTTCAGTACGATGGAAATCAAGTAAGTTATATTACCCCTATTTTTAAATCAGGTGACAAGTCTGATGTGAGTAATTATAGACCTATTTCTAAATTAAGTGTGCTGTTAAGTTTTAAAAGCGTGCTGAATAACTGCCAACATGGCTTTCGTAGTTCTAAATCAACTATTACTAACCTGCTTGTGTTTTATAATAATATTGTTTTCACTGTTGCAAATGGTGGTCGAGTAGATGCAATTTATACTGATATGAAAAAAGCGTTTGATACAGTAAATCACAAGGTATTAATTGATAAATTAAAACATATTGGCATTAAAGACCCACTACTTAAATGGTTAGCTTCATACCTCACAGGCAGACAGCAGCAAGTAAAGATAAATAATATTATCTCTTCCATTATCCATATCCCCTCTGGGGTTCCTCAAGGAGGGCATTTATCTCCATTACTTTTCTTAATTTTCATGAACGATCTTTCTGATGTCTTTCAACATTCAGCTATTTGTGTTTTGCCGATGAAGTAAAAATTTATTCTAACATTCGTACAGTTCATGACAGTCATAATCTCCAAGCAGACTTGTGCAGATTTTATAATTGGTGTGTTGTTAATGGTTTATGCTTGAATGTGTCTAAATGTGTTCAGATCACTTTTTGTCGTAAGCTTTCATATGAACTATATGCATATAATATAAATAGTATTAATCTTATAAATGTTCCTCATATTAAAAACTTAGGTGTAATTCTTTCTTCGGATTTATCTTTTACTGAACACATTTCATTTATTTATAATAAAACACTATGGATGTTGGGCTTTCTTAAGCGAAATTGTTGGGAGTTTTCTAATCCTATTTGTTTAAAAGTTTTATATTGTTATTTAGTGCGTTCCATAGTCGAATATGGGTCAATCATTTGGTCACCATATCAAGCTAATCTTACTAATAAACTGGAAAAATTACAAAAACGTGAAAGGTTACAAATATATAAAAAAAAATCAAACTAATTGGCCGCAACGAAAAATTTGTAACTTTCATGGCGTTTTACAAAATTATAAGAAAAGGGTCGCCAACCTACTGGGCGAGAAAATTATATTACAAGAAACACAAAAGTTGCAGCGCACATAACTAAATCTACCGCTACGGACGGGAAATAGTACGACCAGTTCCGACTATGGCTATTCCCCGACAAAACGTCCGACGTTTGACCCGGCGGTCCGTTGGCGACAACACGGCTAGCCTTTAGAGTAGGGGTCAAAAAAAAAAAACTTAATACCCAATGCCGGAAATTACTAAGAACAATTTAAATCATAAGGCAACAATGTATGCGGTGAGCAGTGCAAATGACGTTCAAGATGGGAAAGGAGCGGGGTGAATGTACACACAAATGCCGTCCATGAACCGGTCTGAAGTAGTACACAGCTGACTATCTCGCACGCGCATAAACAAATCACAACACCTTATCATGATAATTTTACCGACAAACGCCGTCGCAGTCCGCATTCGGCTCAACACAAATATATATATTTATATATATAAATAGACAAAAAATAAATAGATACTTTTGTCACGTTACAAACGTTTTCTACGTATGTTAGTAGTAAAAGTAGGAAAATACGATATTAATGAAGTTGTTTTAAATGTAGTAGCTTCAGATATTAGACTAACCAGTCTGAGTAAGAGGCGGGAAATGTTTGACGTTAGTTGGATCCATAGTTTATTCAATAATAAAATTGACTGTCCAGAAATTCTTGATATTATTCCTTTTAATGTTCCTTCAGTCCATTTACGGTCTCAAACGATGTTTTATGATTCTCCTGTTCAACAGAACTATAATCTTTTTGCTCTGGTCAATCGTATGTTATTAGAATGTAATGAAGTTAGACATAAAGTGAACTCCTTTTTTAATTCTTTAGATATAATAAAGAGATCGATTATACAGTAAAGAATCTTTACTTATATTGTTTGTTTTTATAACTAATTGTATGCTCCAAATTTATTGATGTCTAGTTTAAGTTTCATTAACTGTACTCTTGCCCTTTGGGGCGTTAATTTAGTAAATAAATATTAACTTAAAACTAAAAAAATTTTAAAAATATTTAACTAAAAACTTTAGTATTTGTGTAGCGTTGATAATGGTAACATTATTCCCGAAATATCTTTACTCTTTTTTTAGTAATTTTTTGAGTTAAATATTTTTAATATGTTTTTAGGGGGTTAATATTCTTACTAAATCAAATTTGTGATTTTGATATTCACGTAATATTTAAAAGCTTTTACAAAAAAATATTAAATATAATTTTATAACTTTGAACATGTTGTACAAGCCATAAATAGATAATTGCCTTGTATTTTTTTAGATAATATTTGTTTAATTTATTGATTTTAAATTTTAGAGATGTATTTCCATTCGGTATTCCTCAACAATTTTCTTTTGTTGCCACCTTTAGCGCAAAAACATTGATAGATACTAATTGGCATATTTTAAAGATAACTGATTATCAAAATAAGACTTGTTTGCAAATCACCTTAAATCAAGAAAAGAAAAACGTTGAATTTTCAATAGTGAATTATGCTGGATATCTCCAAACGACTTCATTCGAAGCGATTAATGTAATGTACTATTTTAATTACAAACAATATAAATATTACTAATTCTGTAATTATTAAAATTATGTACTTAAATTAGTAGAAGCGAAAATAGATAAAAATATATGATAGTAATTGAGTTACTATCATTGTAAAGCTTCGATATGATTTTATAATTGATTATATACAAATAATAGGTATATTATGACATGGTGGATCATTTAAGTGCTGTCTTAGCTGATATTCAGCTGCCCTATTTATTATTTTTATTTTAAAATAATGTTTAAAACATTAAAAACAAATCAAACATTTTTTTTTTAATTTTGAGTTTGACTTTTTTGTGAGACAAAGAACTATTATATAACTATATACTATTATACTAACTATATATTATTATAAGAACTATAATAATAGATTATTTTAATAAATTTTATTTATATTATAATTATATTATTATTTAATAAATCATGAAGTAATTATTATTAGTAAAGAAAGGAAATATCGGATTTTAATCATCAAACAATTCAAATTGTTTTACTATTATTCGGTATTACTATTTGAATAATATCAAAAACTTTTGAGAATTATTAATACTCTACCATAAGAACTATGAGGAAGAAATTTCAGTTACTGTGAATTTATGATCTTAGCACCGATGAGCCTAAATAGCCTACAATAAGCTGAAGAAAAAGAATTATAATAATAAAAAAACTAACAAAAATAATTTTTTTTAATTTTTAAAATAGAAATTTTTTAGAATTTTTCTTTTGAAGCATTTTAATAGGTCAGTAATAATTTTACACTGTCTATCGAATACTGACCAAGTATACATACATGTATACTCTGCTCGAATTCCATGTTATTAACTTAATAAGTAATTGCCTTAACAATGTTATCGATCCATTCATAATTTTTGTAAAAAAGAAAAATTGAGGCCGAAAGGGACTCGAAGGAACTCAAAGTGTCCTTGGTCTGTGCTAAATGCAGTTTTTTTCGCGGTGATCAGGGTGCATTTCCACTTGATGATAGCCTTGTGTGAGATCCAGGGTTGAATAATATGAAGATTTTCCTAGTTGATCTAGAATGTCAGCTATATTAGGAATAGGATATGCGTCGCTAACAGAGACTTGATTTAATTTTCTAAAATCGGCGCAGACACGATATCTTACAACACCATTATTGTCCGGTTTCTTCGGCACAACTAACAATGGTGCATTCCATGGGCTCTTGCTGGGAGCTATGATGTTTTGTGTTTCGAGTTCTTTGATTTGTTTATTGATTTCCTGTTTGTGACGGAAAGGCAAACAATATGGACGTTCATTGATAGGCTGTACGGTTGCGGGCGTATTTATTTCGTGATAAACAGCATCTGTGCATGTCAGCTTGTCTCCATCTAAATAAAAAATGTCGGAGTACTCGCGGTATATAGTTTCAACCGAAGCTTTTTCCTCAGGATTTAAATGGTCAGTTAGAATAGTAACCTCAATCGTTGGGTGCTCACCGAAGGACTGTTATCAGAAATAGAATTTGAAATATAGCATGACTTTTGTTCGGTCCATATGTCGAACGAAAGTTTAGACAGAGCGAGATTCGGCGGAAGTAGAATTGAACATTTGGATGTGTTGATAATAGGTATTAGGATTTCGTGGTTTTTAACTATTGTCAGTACATTACCACATAATAAGTTTTCATTTAGATTTTAAGAATGAATTACTAACGCTGTGGCCTCAGCGATATCACATGTAGAAATAGAAATGAGGGATTCAGAGCGTGGAGATATTTCACATATTTTATTCCTGTGCATAATTATCTCATTATTTTGAAAATCGACTGAAAATTGATTTAGTTGCAAAAATGGTCTTCCTAAAACACCTTCACATTTTGTAGGAAAATTAGGATGAACGACATGAAATTCAGTTTCATTCTTTTGTTATCATTAGCGTATCTTCTTTTAATACATTGTTCTATGAGGTGTCCTTCATTTTTACAGTATTTACAAATTAAGATCGCCGAATTAGAATTTTGTACAGTGGGTTTGTTTACAGACGTAGAGTTACTATTACGATTGATTTTAGGAAAATATCTGTTGGAGGTAGAAGGAGACGCAGAATAGTTAGAATTAGAATTGAACTTCGTTACGTCCTTTAAGTATTGTTTGGCCCCCAGATTGGATAACCTTATTCTCTCTTCTTCTATGGCTACTTGTATAGCTTTGTCTAGGGTAGAAGGGTTTCGGGCTTTGATAAAGTCTTTTAAGTTACCCAGTCCCTCCATGAATACCTGGATGACTTGATTATTTATGGTTTGTTCTATCGCTTTCGCCACTTCTGGATTTTTATCTGACGTTTCCTGCTCTATTATTTGATTTTGCAGTTTTTCTACTCTCGTGGAGTAGGAAAGTACGTACTCATTATGCGTTTATTTCGTGGCATAGAGTTCTAAATAAAGATGGGGTGTTGTCCTTTGGGGCTCTAAATTTGATTTTAAAGTCTCTTTTAGGTCATCCCATGATTCGAAGTTCTTATATTTAGTTACTTGCCTTGCTTTACCTGATAACTGAGTTCGAATTGCTTGTAGTAAGCAAGGGATGTCTATCGGTACTACGCATTCGACTGCAAATTTGCATTTTTCAAGGAAGATTTCGAGTTGTTCTACGTCTTTTCCGTCGAAGAAATGAGGTAACAGCCTAATTGCGTCTTGTAATCCTACTTGCGTATTAGATGGTGGTAGATGTTTTAGATTAGCATTGAAATGATTAGGATGTTGTATGAAATACTGTTCCATATACTGGTAAATTAAAAGTTTTATTTGGCTCATTGGTACGCTTTCTTCTCTGTCCCCTGTATCGCTATCTATTTTTGTACTACCTCTCGCCAAATTGTTGTCTGCCATTATGGCCAAATAATCTTGGTATAACAACCAATTGCCAGGTGAGTGTACACTAACACGTACTTTTTCCGGTCCCCAACGAGTATGTGAATCGGACAGTGCCGAAGATAGATTAACCTGCGTTGGAAATTGACTCGGCGCTGTTGTTTTCACTTCAGGGATGTAGGACGTTGCTAACGTATACCAACAAGTCTTTGGTGCTTCCGAGTTCGGATTGACAGTTGAAGTAGAAGGTAGGGTCGATATACAATTAGAAACAGAAGTAGACGTAAAAGAAGACGCGCACGCGGATGTAGAATGAAACGTAGACGTAGAATGAAACGTAGACGTAGAAGTAGACGCGAACATAGAAGTAGATGTAGCTTTAGACGTAGAAGCTGATTTCGACATAGACACAGACGTTTGAATATTGGAATTTGTAGTTATAATAGAGTCAGAGGAAATATTCGCAATAGAACTTTGAATAGGATTATTTAAAGTAGTTGAGTTAAATAACTCTTCAAATAAGGAATTTGAGTGATTTAAAAGATTATCCGTACTACCTATAGTACGAATAAATTTGTTTAAGATTTCCTTATTATAATTAATATTTCTGGGTACACTAGTATTATGACGAGATACTTTTGATTTTGAACGGAGAATGCGAGTAGTTGGAATAGGAATTTGAAAGGATTTAGAATGAGTACGTGGTTTATAATTGCTATCACTCGAACAACTAGTATTTGATTCGCAACTCATTTATCTTACCCGAGTTAAAATGATCAAATAAGGGTAAAAATATGAATCAAAAAAATTTTTTTTTTTTTTAATTTAAATTTGTTTTCCTATACTACGTAGCAATGAGCGTATAAGCGAATGGTATAACCTAAGATAGTAAAAGAGAAAAGTTTTATTGTATAATTATATTTTTATATATATATATATTCCCCAAATAAAACTAAGATTTAGAGAGTTAAAAAAAATGTATATAAAACAAAAGAAAATTGATTAGTTTTTTCCCCAAACTAATTAAATTTAGAATAATTTAAATTAATTAAAATTATTATATTAAGTCAGTATTCACTATGACTTAGCGAGAATATATATATAAATTAATGCTAGTTAAATTGTAAAATGGACCAATTTAAACAAAATTAATATTTGTATGAAAGAGAGAGAGAGAAAAAAAAATATAATAGAATAAATAAGTCAATCGCAAAGCATGTATAAAATGTGAAACACTTAAGTTACGATGATCAAAACTTCTCTGAAAAATTTCATACTTGAAATGGACTTTTCTTGATTTTGACTGAAGTTGAATTTGAAATTTAAATTCGATAGGTGAAGTTGAATTGGAATGGCTTAGCTCACAGTAGAATAGGATGAATGAAACGAATCAGGAAAATTTGTTGTTTTTGTCGACGTTGATTTTGTTGTTATTGAATATATAATGCTATCTGGTTGTTGCGTTTTACCACGGCGGTGGCAGACAGTATTCGTCTGCTAGACCGCGACGCTATTCTCGACAGAACCGGTTTGTACTTTTGGCCACTAGATGGTCACGAGTAGAGAATTGGAACACGATAGCGGTGGTTGCGTCTGACCGATCGGTACAGTGTTACCAACACGATTTAGAAAAATTTAGAATGTACGCTCCCACGAGGTTAATGTATACAATAGCTGGACTTACTATTTAAAAATCCGATTTCTTCTTACGGCCCTCAAAGACGTTCTTGCTCTTGTTTTCCGCTGCCACCAAATATGTAATGCGGGCCCGTATGGAGAAGATAGATTTATTGGTAAAAAAGTAGAATTGACGTAGAATTGAACAAAGTTTATTTATTATATTAATGATCGATTAAAATAGAATAAAATAACATCGAATATTATAATATTTAATATACGAAATAGAATACAGCTTTACTATACAGACTTAGAATTAAAGTTAGAGTTAACAAGCTTAAATTTAGAATAATATGTGTAGCGTCACTTTCACATATCGAACAACGACTGACTATCCGGTACCTTCAGTGGGAGTCATTTTGCCCATGGTTGCCCTAAAACCCTTGGTCAGCACATTCCTGTGTTTGACGAAAGTCAGACAACCATGTATTCTATACTCTACTCAATTATAAAATAATATTCAGGGGTTCTTAACAATGTCTACTATAAATACATAAATTATTTTTAAAAAACACAATGACATTAAATTTTTATCAAAGTCATAAGAATTGTCTATTTGAGATCTATTTCACCTGTGTATAAAAATAATAAAATTATTCTTAACTTTTCTATTTTCTTTTTCAATTAGATTTTTGACAAACATTGGCATAAGTTACATTTTGGAGTGTTTTATGATCAAGTCGTTTTTTATATAGATTGTAAGCAAATAAATATAAAAGTATTAGAACCGAGGGGAACAATTGATATTCTTGGAACTACAGCTTTAGCAATAGCAACAAATTACCAAACTGCATCGGTGAGTTTTAAACAGACAATATAAATAAAAAGTAATTAAATTTATATTTATTTTAAGTTGTCAAGTTAACTGTCTAGTACATATTGTATTTTTTGAGCTATTGCCTGTATAATTTATAATAAATAAATAAATAAATAAATATACATGATTTATAATGGTCGTATTTTAGGTAGATTTGCAATGGATTACTTTAAGCTGTGACCCGACAAAACCTCATCGTGAAAAATGCGCAGAACTTCATGTAATAGAAAAAACTATAGTGTTTTATTAGTACAAAATTTTCTTATGTTTCATTATACATTTAATTTAGTTCGATGAAGAGTTACAAGTGCAAGCTTCATCAAAACCTACAAAATGTGCAGCAGCAAAGGAAATTAAATGCAGCAAAGTAAAACAAAATATTGTATTACAAAATTTATTTATTTAAATAACTAATGCATATATATTTTAGGATCTATCTGGACTACCAGGACCTCAGGGACTAATCGGTCCTCAAGGTTTGCCAGGTTCACAAGGACTTCAAGGATCGATTGGTCCTCAAGGTATACCTGGCCCACAAGGACCACCGGGAGTTCCCGGATTAGAAGTAAAGTTTGTTATAGTAAACTTATAAGTGTACCTAATATGCTAAATATCAAATTAATATTTCAGATAATGTACTTAATAATTTTTATAATTCTTTAAGAATCGTGCGAAAAAAATGAAAAAATCTATATATGTCTAAATATATATATTTATTATTTACAACCATTAAAAAATGATAAGTGACAATAAGCTAAGACGTGATTAGAGAGGTGGAAAGTTTTAAGTACTAGGATCAGTTATGAAAAAGAGCGGTGTTACTAACGAAGATGTAAGACACAAGAGCGGGAGGTTGAAGTGGAGGAAGCGTCTGTTGTCTTATGTGATAAAAGAATTCCAATAAGGCTGAAGGTAAATTCTACAAGACTGTAGTGTGACCAGCTATAATGTATGGTTCAGAGTATTGGGAGATTGATAAGAAAGTAGAGTAGCGAATGAGTATAGCAGAGATGAAAATGCTTAGATGGATGAGTGGAGTGACTAGAGAAGATATGAAAAGGAACGGACATGTAAGAGGAAGTATAGGTGTAGCGTCAATCGTGGATAAGATGAGAGAAAATAGACTTAAATGGTTTGGTTATGTTTTGAGGAGAGGAGAATCGGAAGCTGTAAGAACAGTTATAGAAATGAATGTTGAAGGAAGAAGAGGTAGAGGAAGACCAAAAGAGATGGAGAGATGTAGTTGAATACAATATGAGGACGGTGATGTAAGCGTAGATTATGTGGGAGATCATGTGAAGTGGAAGTTTAGAATAAGGGTGACCGACCTCAAGTAGTTGGGATTCAGGCAAGGAGAAGGAAGAAAAATCATTAGATTAGGCAACACCAATTGAATTGGTAGATTTTATCAAAATTTTGATTATAGTGGTTTCACACTTGAGTAACGATACTTTTTTACTACTTTAAAAAATAAAGTATAGTTGTCTATCTGTAAACTTACAGATGCGGGTGCAACTTAACAATAGAGGTTATCAGCATCTAGTGTTCACTGTGACATACCTAACTCTCTTATGTAAAAATTATATACACTGAATATATATATTAGGGTGGCCCTCAAAAATCGAATGTCTTTTACGCTACCCCTTAATTTTTTTTTAATGGTCAAAAATATGAGCTGTGCAAAATTTGGGACCGATCCGTTAAGGTTAACCCGTGCCTATTAAGTTGAGTCGAAGAGTCAAATTTAATAGAAATAACTAATCTATGTCTCATAGCTTTTATTTTGCTTACTTAGAATTATAAAAGTAAAACTCAAGTTAAAGAAATTTTACAAGAAATTCAAAAATAATAACTTCAATGTTGTTTTCTTAATAAATAGCCCACAAAAACACTACATACAGTAAAAAACATTTAAAATTCTTAAAATACGTTATAACTGATTTTGTTGATTTTTAATTATTTATTTTTATTTATTTTTTGGAAAACGCATATTCGTTTAAAAAAAGATTCTAGAAGTTTCATTTTTTATGCCAAGTACGATAATTATATTAGAATTATTATTTAATGGACAGTTAATTAATGATTAATTATAAACCTAACAGTTTAATTTAATTGTTATTAATAATTTTTAATTTATTTTTTTTTTAAATAATAATAACTTTAAAAAAATTTTTTTAACAATAATTAAATTATATTATTATAATATATTTTTTNAAATAATAATAACTTTAAAAAAAATATTTTAACAATAATTAAATTATATTATTATAATATATTTTTTGATAATGTACTTTTTTTACAATTAGGAAATTTTTTCCGATAATTACTTACTATTTCTAAAACGTATTGTTACTGTTCTTCATTTGTAGTTAATATATTAATGTAGTCTTAGATTAATTTAATGCCACGCTAGGCTGTATCATTAATGACTCGTAATTTACTTATAGTATTTAAAGCATTTATGTAACTGTTGTTCGCACTCCAAAATGATGGATCAATTTTCAAAAAATCTGTGTTCAGATTAAATAATTGTAAATTTGATGGTAACTTACTACCAGTTATTTCGTGGGAATAATTACCAATAATATAAATATTAGTTCGTAATACTTTAAAAGACGCTAAAAGTATTGTACATTTGTGATTAAAACGTATCATTTAATATATAATAATAAACATGTAAAATATATTTAACGTGTTCACAAATTGTCTGCTGCATTTATACGACACAAATTATGTCAGTTGTCGAAAATAACTCAAATATTCTTATCTTTAATAATAATATAATTGGTACTATCTTAAAGTAATTCAGTAAACCAAAATTGATATATTGATACGACAAAATGAAATAATACAATCAATTTTGTTAAATTTGTAATTAATCATTAATTAACTGTCCATAAAATAATAAATCTAATATAATTATCGTACTTGGATTAAAAAATGAGACTTCTAGAATCTTTTTTTAAACGAATATGCGTTTTCCAAAAAATAAAATGTAAAAAATTATTAAAAATCAACAAAATCAGTTATAACGTATTTTAAGACTTTTACATGTTTTTTTATTGTATGTAGTGTTTTTGTGGGCTATTTATTGAGAAAACAACATTGAAGTTATTATTTTTGAATTTCTTGAAAAATTTCCTTTACTTGAGTTTTACTTTTATTATTCTAAGTTAAGAGAAAAAAAAGTTATGAGACACAGATCAGTTATTTCTATTAAATTTGACTCTTCGACTCAACTTAATAGGCCCGGGGGCACGGGTTAACCTTAACGGATCGGTCCCAAATTTTGCACAGCTCATTTTTTTGACCATTAAAAAACAATTAAGGGGTAGCGTAAAAAAAAAAAGACATTCGATTTTTGAGGGCCACCCTATGTTTTGGGAAATGTACTTTTCGTCCTGACCGCGTTTACCTTGGTTGTGCTGAAACTGCTGTACTTGCTGTGTCCGTATTATGTTCAAATACTTTGTCTTGTATGTAAGCGGGTTTGAGTCGATCGATTGATATTGTTTTGGATGTACCGTTGATTAGAAGGTCGAACTTGGGTATTCTTTATAACACTTGAAATGGTCCTTCGTATGTATAAGTTAATTTTGTCTTCAGAGCGTCGATTCTTTGGTATACGTGAGTACATGTTTCTAGGTCTTTTGGTATACAAGTGCGTTTTGATAATGATGTATGGTGATATACTATTGGGGCTACTTTCGAAAATTGTTGTTGAAGTTGTTTTATGAAATCAGATGGTTTTGGTAGTTGTTCTGTTTCTTCAAAAAATTGTCCTGGTAGTCTTAGCGTTTGACCATTGACTAGTTCGGCTGGGGATGCTTTCAAGTCTTCTTTTAGTGTTGTGCGTAGGCCTAATAAGATCATAAGTAGTTCTTCGGACCAATAGATGCTGTCTTTACATGTTATTGCGGCTTCTAGTGTTCTATGTACTCTTTCTATCATTCCATTTGCTTGTGCATGATATGGTGATGAACGTATTGTTTGAAAACCTAATATTTTTGATAACTATTTGTATAATGTTGATTCGAATTGTCTACCCTGATCTGTCGTTATTCTATGGGGTACTCCAAATCTTGCAATCCAATGTAGAATTAGGGTGGTGGCACATGTTTCTGCAGTTATGTCTTTTATAGGCACTGCCTCTGTCCATCATGTGAACCTATCGATCATAGTCAATATGTATTTATAAGTTTTAGATGGTAGTAATGGTCCAACAATGTCAATGTATATGTGTTCGAAACGACCACTTGGTGGATTAAAATTGTCGATTGGGTAATTGTGTGTTTGTATGTTTTTGTTTTTTGACATTTTTCACATGCTTTTACCCATGATGTTATATCCTTTTTCATTGATTTCCATACGAATCGTGGTTTAATTTGTCTAAGAGTTCCTTTTATTCCAAGATGAGAGATAAGTTATGAATAGTTGAAAATACTTTTCTTTGTAGTGATGGTGGTACGATTGGTCGTATTTTACCAGTGCTTGTGTTACATTTAATTTTTCGGCCACCTTCTATTTCCATGTATTGTACTTTTAGACTAGTATCGGTTAATATGTAATCTTTATCTTGTGCGTTGGCGATTTCTTCTATAAGTTTATTGGGTCAGATGTATTTGATATGCTTTGGACTCTTGAAAGGTAGTCTGCTGTGATGTTGCTTGATCCGGCAATGTGCAGTATGTAAGTAGTTAATTGTGATATAATTGATAGTTGTCGTTGATGTCATTCAGATGCTTTTTCTAGTTTTCGTTTAAAAGCATGAATTAATGGTTTGTGGTCTGCATAAATTGTAAAGTCCTTGCCTTCTAATAAGTAAGTGAAATGTCTACAACAATCGTATATGGCTAGAAGTTCTCTATCATAGGTCGAGTATCGCTGCTCAGTAGTTGTTAGTTTGCGACTGTGAAAGCCTAGTGGAAGCGATTTATTATTAATTATTTGGTGTATAACTCCACCGATTGCCCGATTACTGGAATCTGCAGTAAGTGTTAGTTTGACAGATTCATGTGGGTGTGCTAAGTGTATTGACTATTTCAATAATTCTAAACATGTGTAAAATAATTCTTTTGCTTTAGATGTCCAATTTATGACTCGCGTATCATTTTTCTTGTTATCTGGAATCAGTTCATTCAGATGTAGTTGGTAATGTGCGAGCTGTGGAATAAAACGTCTATAGAAGTTAATCATACCGAGAAATCGCCGTAGATCTTTTATTTGATTGGGTATAGGCAATTCTCTTATACTTTTGACTTTTTCTGAATCAGGTATGGNGATTGGGTATAGGCAATTCTCTTATACTTTTGACTTTTTCTGGATCAGGTATGGTTCCTTCTTTTGAAATTTGATGTCCTAAAAAGGTTATTGATTCTTGTCCAAAACTGCATTTTTCTAGGTTGATTTTAATACCATGTTGGGAAAGTGTTTTTAGTACTGTGTTTAGATGTTCCTTTTTGGATTCTGAAAGTCAATATGTCATCTATGTACGCTACTGTAAACGGTAAATCTCGGATTATTTCGTTTATAAACCTTTGGAACGTTTATGCGCTGTTTTTTAGTCCATATGGAATTTTTAAAAATTCAAAGATGCCAAATGGTGTTATTACTGCGGTCTTAGAAATGTCTTCTTCAGTCATTTTTATTTGATTGAAAGCTTTTTCCAAGTCCAGTCTTGAGAAAATTGTTTTGTTATGAAGTTGGATGTTTACATTATGTATGTGCGGTAAAGGATATCAATCTGGGATAGTTACTCTGTTAAGTGCCCTATAGCCTCCACAGGGTCTCCATTGACCATTTCGTTTTTTACCATGACAAGTGGGCTACTCCAAGGGGAATTTGATGGGCGGTAAATGCCTTCTTCACACATTCTTTTGTTTTCTTGTTTAGCCATTTGTAATTTTTCTAGTGATAACCTTCGTGCTTTGGCTGATATTAGCGGTCCGGTTGTTTGAATGAAATGGACAGTTGAGTGTTTTGATTCTTTTCGATAAGCTGGATTTATGACTTCAGAGAATTTTTTTAATATGTCTGAATAGGCTGAGTTGTGCTCGATTAATGAAATACCCAGTATATTGTCTGCCTTGAGCGGGGTAACTAGTGGTGTTGTTAAATGTGCAACGCCATCTTCAAGAAGTTGTTTGCGTTTAAGGTTAATTTGCAAGTTGAATTTTGCTAAGAAAACCGCTCCTAGAATACAACGAGTTACATCTGCAATTATAAATGTATAGCGAAATTGTTTACGAAGTCCTAGATCTAAAACCATTGTTCGTTCTCCGTAGGTCCTTATAATTTGATTGTGTTGTAGTGTAAAATACTCAAGTTGAAATGTTAGATTTGTCTAAGTTGTTAGATTTTATTATTGAAACTTCGGCTCCACAGTCAACTAAAAATTTTTGATTAGATTTTTTGTCTAGGATTTCTAAGCAGTGAGAGTCCCTCCATGTCTCGATTGTAGGCACGGAGGGCATTTTTAGTTTTCCGTTTTGATTGGCGGTTCTGTGGTCCATTTACATGGTTTTACACATTTTTGTGCCTTACCGCGAAATTTGTAATGGAAATAATGGTCCTTCTGAGTTGTAACGTGACCGAGATTTTGAACGTGAGTGGTTCCGCCGTGTATTTCTTGAATAACCTTGCTGTAATTGAAGTTGCTTAATTTGTTGTTGGAGGTCTGCTAGTTTATTTTCTATATTATCTGGTTTATGTTGTTCTTGTATCTAGTTTACTGTGTGTATAGAGACATCAACTACACGGTCGGCCATTTCTGCAAATTCGTCGACGGTTGTTGTTTTTGGAGCTACTGCTAGTACTATTTGGGCTTGTTTAGATAAGCGTTGTAACCAAATTTGTTTTATTAAGTGAGAAGGACAATTTTGTCCGGCTAATGATTTGATTTTCGACAACATCAATAAAGGTTTTTCGTCGTCTAATGAAATTCCGGAAATTAATTCGCGAAATTTTTCTTCATCAGTTCTATCATATGTGTTAATGGGCCTATCTTTTAAATTTTGATAATAGTTTTCGGTATTGTCTAAGTCTAAAATGTCACTTACTTTTCCTATTATGTCTTCATCTAGCATGACCAAGATATTGTCAAATTTTGTTTGAGATTTACTCATGTGTGTTAGTCTAAATTGAGCTTCGGCTCTTTTGAACCATGCAGCTGGGTCACATTTCCAAAATGGTGGCAGCTTTACGCCAACTATAATGATATTATCTGCTGTTTCTGGTGTTGTTTTGTCTACCATTTTTCCTTTGTCGAGGTCACCAATTTTTAGTGCTTCACTTATTGATTTAAAATAAATAAAAACACTAATTTATATAACAGAAAAAATGTAGACGGTTTATTGTTTAAAACACTAAGAAAATTTATATAAAAATTATATTAATGCACTACGTGTACTTAACTACTTAACCGATTAACTGACGACTGGCTAACTAACTGATTGATGTTATTGTTACGTCGCGCCGTTTTATATTGTGTTGAGTTCTAGAAGATTCTCTTACGGAGCGATCGATAACATTCGCGCTATATGCATTTTGTGTTGCCTATCCGTCGCGAAGTTTCTCGATCATTCCATAGTCACTACAAAATATATTAGCCTTTCTTTTTATCTTACTGAGATCTGTTATCTTAGCGATTTTTAAATTCAGAATTAGATAGTGTTTAGTTTTAAAAAAATTGGTGGATTATTCCAAAAGATATATTATACTAATCATAATTTGTGAATTTAAATTTAGAATTTTTTTGGAGAATTTCCCCATTTCCCCACAGAAATTATATGTGTTCTTTAACTTTGATGTCCGTTTTCACCACAAAGACTATACGAATGTGTGATTACATTCAAAATACATTACTTTGATATTTATAATTAAATTTTTGTGATGTATATACACTGTCAAATTTAGGAATGCTTTATTTTTAGAGGGGATATTTTGTTTTTATTATTATTTCATAATAAATATCATTTTTAAAAACGATAACACAATGTGGATGTGGCATAGATGGGACAAGTATAGATTTAATCTGACTATCACTATCATAAAAAAACGCTTCGATGCAAATCTGTAGATAGTATTTTAATTGAAGAAATTGTTGGATAATTACATAAGCAACATCAACTCTTATTTCCTTAATTATATCCTGATTAATAGTTCTTAGATGTAAAAATATAATATATGACTAAATAATAATTATAGTAACTAAATTTAGTATGAAATTTAAATTAAAAAAAATAAAATGGAAAATTTTTTCACAGAAATCATATGTTTTTTAATTTTTATGTCCGTTTTTACCACAAAGACAAGTCCAGAGGTCAATTTTTTTTTTTCAAAATAAATATATATTTATAAGCCAAATTATATATTTTATATAAGCTTTAGTTTAAGGTGTATATAAAAGTTCCAGTATTCCTAGAACATTTTCAAAAGTTAAGTTGAAAAAGTTTCCATTTTAAAACCCCCTCGTGGGTAGGTAAAAGGTCAAAAATATATCAAATGATAGGTAAATACCTAAAGTATCTATAAATAAAATATTATTTATTCATTTATAGCAGTTTTAAGAAAAAAAAATTGAAAAAATGTCGAAAATTACTGATTTTTAATATTGTAATTTTTTTGGAGATTTACTCCATTTACAAGGAACGAGAGAATTTTTTTTAATTTTTGAGAGTAATATCTTCTAGATACAATTTGTGATCTTTTGACGTATTGTTCATCAAAATCAGTTCAATAAGCTGAGATTGAGTGATAACAAACACAAAATATAAAAAAACACATCATAGTAAAATTAATACCTTCTCAACTTCTTATTGAAACTAAAAAAATGTTCTCTAAAAATACCATTTTCAATAAAAAAAAATTGTTGTGTAGTTATACAGAGTGTTCAGTAAGTAAGAAAACAGGTAACTTGTTACAAATAATGAAAATAATATAAACTCATTTTCTTAATGACTGAACACCCTGATCTTATAAATAGAATTTTCATGATATATTATTATTATAGAAATTATATCTTAAAATATATACTTAAGCAGTTTTTATGTAAAATTAAATTATAATTACTGAACACCCTGTATAACGTTTACAAGAAATTGTAAATTTTTTTAGGGTTCTCGAGGATTACCTGGAAGTCCAGGTATACCGGCACTACCAGGTCTGCGTGGCGAAAAAGGAGAACCGGTAATCTTTATGTATACAAATTTTACTTAAAAAGTTTTATTAAGGGAAATTGAGCTTATCCTGATAATTTAATTTTTACTTAATTGCTAAATTTCTATATTTAAAACTCGAGCAACACCGAATAAACAGTTATATATAAAGTTCATAGATTTTCATTTATTTCAATATTAATAATAATCAATATTTTTCTTATGGTGAAATTTAATTTTTTACTTATAAAAATTATGTTTTAGGGTGAGCCTGGCCCACCTGGTATGAAAGGAGAACCCGGACAACATGAAGTAAAATATATAAGACCCGTAAGTACTACTAAATTTAACCAGTAATTACTTACTGTTAGTTTTTTCTATTTATTAATTCTTGCCTAATAATGCCGTACTATTGGCACTACTTGTGAAAAAAATAAAATAAAATAATGCTAATAATGCCGTACTATTGGCACTACTTGTGAAAAAAATAAAAATTTTAAAACTATAATTAGTATTTATTCATATATTATATTTTAAAATCAAAGAACTACTAATCAGGATATAATTAAAGAAATAAGAGTTGATGTTGCTTTTGGAATAATCCTCCAATTTCTCTAAATGAAACAGTATCTACAGATTTGCATCGAAGCGTTTCTTATGATAGTGATTTTAATCACTGTCAGATATCATTATACTTGATCCAATTATGGCACGTCACCACTGTGCCGCGACTTCCTATTCTGGGTTTTTTTTTAATTGTCTAATTGTCATGGAGAATGTGGGCTAAGTAACTTTTTAATTGATAGATTAGAAATTTTTTCAATTTTTGAGGGTAAAACTAGATAAAAGTTGTGATTATTTAATATATCGTTAAAAAAACGGTAAAACAGTGGGGTCGAGGCACAGTGTGAACGAAGCATAGATGGGACAAGTATAATGATATCTGACAGTGATTAAAATCACTATCATAAGAAACGCTTCGATGCAAATCTGTAGATAGTGTTTCCTTTAGAGAAATTGGTGAAATATTTTAAAAGCAACATCAACTCTTATTTCTTTAATTATATCCTGATTAGTAGTTCTTTGATTTTAAAATATAATATATCAATAAATACTAATTATAATTTTTAAATTTAGTATGAAATTGTGAGGCCAGCTATGATGTATGGTTCATAGTGTTGGGAGGTTGATAAGAAAGTAGAACAGAGAATAAGTGTAGCAGAGATGAGAATGCTTAGTTGGATGAGTAAAGTGACTAGAGAAGATAGGGTNGATGAGTGGAGTGACTAGAGAAGATAGGATAAGGAACGAGCATATAAGAGGAAGTATAGGTGTTGCGTCAATCGTGGATAAGATGACAGAAAATAGACTTAGATTGTTTAGTTATGTTATGAGGAGAGAGAATGGGAAGCTGTAAGAACAGGTTATAGAAATGAATGTTGAAGGAAGAANTTATAGAAATGAATTTTGAAGCAAGAAGAGGTAGAGGAAGACTAAAAAGGACATTGAGGGATGTTATTGAATGCAACATGAGGACAGCTGATGTGTGAGCATAGAAGATGTGGGAGATCGTGTCAAGTGGAAGCTTAGGATAAGGGTGGCCGACCCCAAGTAGTTGGGATTAAGGCAAAGAAAAAGAAAAAGATTACCAGAAATTCCGGTGGAAATTGACATAATATGATTGTTGTTTGGGAATGTACAATTTAGCGTTTAGTTGGGTTTAATAATATAGTGTCAAATCAATTACCTACTCTATCGGTTGTATCTTAATATACACTACACTTTAATAATACAATAAATAAATAAACTCACAAATACACACATATGCATTTATAACATTGTGTCTAATGTAAGTTAACATGATAAAAAGTAACCGTAAAATGAAAAAAATGGAATATAAATTTTAGTACTCATATTAAATGTAATGTAACTCGAAAAATATTTGTTTAAATGAAAAAATATAAGATAATTTTTTTGTTTATAATTGTCTTTTAAACAACTTTTGTACGAAACTTTTTTTTGTAAGTTAAATATTTTTTGAGAAAATTAAAAAAGCTCATATTTTTGAACTTTTGCGAGGCTGTAAAAAAAAAGCTCAATTTCAATCAATGAGGACTATTAGTATGTCATTATACATATTTTAATTCAATTATTAATAAAACAAAATTTGGTTGGGAATTTTTTCCGCAATTTTTCCTTTGTTGACTGGCCTAGATGTCAGTTTTAAACTTGTAATTGAGCTAAAAGTTATGGTAATATATTCAATTTTTTTTACTATAAACTTTCATAAATCTTTATCAAATTTTTTTCATCAACTTTAAAGAACCAAAAATATAAGTTAAAAATGAAAATGTGGACTGATTATTTTTAACATATTAAAAATCAAATCAGTAATAATTTGAAAACAATTATTTTTTTCTTTTAATTATTATTTTATATGTAATTATCAATAATATAAAAAATTAGAAGTGATAGATAAAGTCCAATTGCAGATTTGAAAACAACGCGAAAATTTGATTTAGAAAAGTATATTTTTACTTTTGATGAAAGTTCCTTGAAGTCCAGTGCATTCACTTGTTTGTTAGTAACAAATAGTTTTTATTGATAATTATTGTATAAAGCCTTTTAAATTTTTATACATGTAAAAGTAAAGCAAAATATAACTTCTTTATTATTTTTATAATTTCTCCGTTTAAATTACAATATTAAATATCAATTTCATACTAAATTTAATAATTATAATTAGTATATATTCAAATATTATATTTTAAAATCAAAGAACTACTAATCATGATATAATTAAAGAAATAAGAGTTGATGTTGCTTTTGGAATAATCCACCAATTGCCTAATTAAAACAAAAAAAAAAAAAGTTTGTTGGGAATTTTTTCTGCTATTCTGCAAAATTACTCCTTCGTTGACTAGAATGAATCATTAAATAGAAAATTTTATGAGAATTAAAACAATGTTATTTTTAAGATTAATATGCAGTCAGAAAGTTTTATAATTACTATTTATTGTAAATTTATCAGAAAAACTCATTATTTTTTGCATTTTTATCGTAATAGAACACTTAAATAGAAATCATAGTAATCATTTCTAAGTAATTTTTGATATTTAAAAAGATTCTACAATTGAAATATCCAGAACTGAATTAATTTTAATGATTTACTTTAACTAAAAAAAAAAAAGTTATTATTTTGAATCCCTCATATGAGCAGGTAAAGGATTAGATTTATAAAAAAAAACCAAATGATAGATAAAGACATGCATCTAAATAAAAAAAAATTATACTGATTTGGTCATTTTTGATAAAGTTATAACAGTTAACAAAGTTATAAATTTTATACATTGGACTACAAGGAACTTTCATCAGAAACAAAAATATACTTTTCTAAATCAATTTTTTGCGATGTTTTCAAATGTGCAATTAGACTTTTTCTATCACTTTTAAGTTATAATATTATTAAAAAACAGTATTTACTTATAAAAAAAAATAATTAAGAACAAAAAAAAATTGTTTTAAATTAATACTGATTTTGATTATTAATATGTTAAAAATAAGGAAAATGACATATTTAACCTATTTTTTTAATCGTTTAAAGTTGATTTTTGTAAATATTTATAATAAAAAAAAATAATTTATTTTACCATAACTTTTAGCTCAATTGGAAGTTTGAAATTGACATCATTAAATAGAAAATTTAATGAGAATTAAAAAAATTGTATCGTTAAGATCATTATGCAGTCAGAAAGTTTTATAATTACTATTTATTGTAAATTTATTAGAAAAGCTCAATATTTTTTTGCATTTTTATTGTAATAAATAACTTAAATAAAAGTAATAATAATAGTTTCCTAGTAACCTTTGGTGTTTCAATAGATTCTGCAATTAAAATATTCAGAAATTAATTAATTTTAATGATTTACTTTAACTAAATGAACCAATCAAAACAAAGTTGTTAAAAAGATTTACTCAATTGAGCGTATTATAAAATTTGATTATATTTGTAAAAATCAATTGTTAATTCAGGAGAAAAAACTATCATTTTTTTTAGAAATTATTTATATAGCAACATGTTACAAAAAAATTTGTAATATTATAATCTAGTAGTAGCACACACAAATAGAGTAAAGTACTATGAAATTACAAAGTAATATGATTTAATTTTGTAGTTGAATCCTATCATATCATACTTGATTCGTCAATTAATATTTTGAAAATTGTCTTTATGGAGAACATGTAATAACTAACTGTTTAATTGATGAATTAGAATTTTTTTTCAATTTTTGAGGGTAATATCTTCAACTAGATACGAATTGTAATAATTTGACATATCATTGAAAAAAGTAGGTCAAGTTAGAGCAGAGAAAATTAATGATTGTCACAAAAAAATATCTTCTCAGCTTTGCATCGAAGCTAAAACTTAAAATATAGTAAAATAATTTTAATACGAATAAGAAATTTCTTCTTACAAGGGGCGACTAAAGTAATGGGATCCTTGATCTTTATTGAAGTTATTGAATCTAAATGAGATAAAAAACAAACGAGTTAAAAATTTATACTAACTTAAAAAGAATTATGAAAAAATTAGTTAAAAATAAGTTTAACTTTCTATGCTATATTAATTTTAATTTATATAATATTTATGAAAATCTGTACTCCCCTTGTCAGGTATTTTAAAATAAAATAAAATACAAAACCCAGAATTTTAACACAAAAATAGCAAATTTTTGAATACGGTAGTCATTTTTACCATGAAGACAAATCCAGAGGTCAAATTTTTTTTTTTCAAATTAAAGTATATTACATAAGCTTTAATTTAAGATATATATAAAAGTGTCAGTATTTCCGGAATACTTTCAAAAATTAAATTGAAAATATCTTAGTAACAATACGCATGTTTAAAGTTTTGACCCCCCTTGTTAAAGGGGTATGATCCGATTTACAAAAAAAGCGTGCCAGATGAAAGGGGTATATAAATATTTATTATAAAAAAATAATAATATTGATCCATACATTTTTCCAAAAGTTATATAAAATATAAATTAAATAATATAAAATATAAAATCGAGAATTTTTTCACGGAAATCGTACGTTTTTCTTTAACTTTGATGTCCGTTTTCACCACGAAGACAAATCCAGAGGTCAATTTTTTTTTTTTAAATTAAAGTATATTACATAATCTTTAATTTAAGGTATATATAAAAGTGTCAGTCTTTCCGGAACAATTTATGAAAAAAATATACCAAATGAAAGGTAATGATATTATGCATCTGTATAAAAAAGAATTATATTGATATGTTCATTTTTGAAAAAGTTATGGCAATTTTAAGTCAAAAAAATTGAAAAAATATTGAAAATTAGCGATTTTTAAATTTGTAATTTTTTGTAGGATTTCCCCCATTTACAGGGAACAAGGGAATTTTTTCAATTTTTGAGGATAATGTCTTAGACTAGATACAATTTGGGATGTTTTGACGTATTGTTCATCAAAATCGGTCCAGCAAAAGCTGAGATTGAGCATTCAGACAAACAAAAAATAAATAAATAAATAAATAAACACATCATAGTAAAATTAATACCTTCTCAGCTTCGCATCGAAGCTAAAAGTTGGTGAAGTGAGAGCTGAGAAAATAAATGAGAGCCATAATAATAAACACATAGTAAAAAACTTTAACATAAGTAAGAAATTTCTTCAAACGAGGGGGACTATAGTGATGGGGTCCTTAATATTCGTTAAAGTTATTGGATCTAAATGAGATAAAAATCAAATGAGTTAAACATTTTTTTCTAACTTAAAAACTTTGTATGATATTTTAAAATAAAATAAAATATAAAATCGAAAACTTTAACACAAAAATAGTATACGGTAGCCATTTTCACCAAAATGACAACATTAAGTTCGAATTTTTTTTTTCTATAATAAAGTATATAAAATAAAATTTAATTTAAGATATATATAAAAGTGTCAGTAGTTCTAGAATACTTTCAAAAGTTAAGTTGAAAAGGTTAATTTTTTGTGAAAAAGTTGTCATTTTGAATTCTACCTGTGAGCAGGTAAAAGGTCAGATTCATAAAAAATATTTACAAAATACTAGGTAAATAAGTCACGTATCTGTAAAAGAAAAATGTATTTTTCCATACATTTTTTGAAAAGTTATGGTAGCTTTAAGTAAAAAAAATTTTAAAATTTCAAAAATTAGCGATTCTTAAATTTGTAATTTTTTATAAATTTCTTCTATTTTTATTTATAACGAGGGAAATTTTTTCAATTTTTGAGGTTAATGTTTTTGATTAGATACGATTTGACGTATCGTTGAAGAAAATCGATTCGGTGAGAGCTGAGCAAAAATGGTAACACACACAAAAAAAAAAAATAATAAAAAACATTGTAATAAAATTAATACCTTCTCAGATCCGTACGAAGCTAATAGAAATTATTTTGTTCTTATGATTTTTTATGCAATTAACAATTAATACATCATCCCTCTGAGATGTATTTTATAATTAGCAGAAAATATTTTTTTTCGAACTACGCTACCAAAAAAAAAAAATAATAATAAGTATAATTTCTGTTATATTAAATATGTATTTTAATTAAAGGGAAATATTGGCATGTCTGGTGAGAAGGGAGAACGAGGAGAACAAGGATTACCAGGTCCTGTAGTAAGTACCTAAAAATGTGCAGATTTCGCTGTAATTTACAAAAATGTAATGTATAAAAAAAATGTACAATACATCTTTTTAAATTAAATACAATAATATAATTTAAATATATTTATTATATATTTAAATATAATTAAGTATAATTTTAAATTAATTTAGATTAGATTGATATGATTTTTCAGATATTCCACATTCTGTTTCTTATTGATGTTATTTAACTAACATCTAATAAATTATAGATGTTAAATATCTTGAACTCTTATATTCTCAACTATTACTAAATAAATAAAAAAATATAACAGAAAGTAATAAAGAAATAAAAGTAACGATTGGTGCCATATCAGTCATGAAAAATAGGGGCGGCACATGGTACTATGTATCAAAGAGAAAAATAGCAAAAGTGGCAATTGTGAACCATATTATTAGTATTAAATATCAAATCACAACACATCTTCCCATCTGGAGTAGTTCTTGCACAAACCAAATATTTATTCCTCATTCCATCTGTCACTTACCTTTTAACAATCTTACAGTATTTTTATTTATCTTCTCGTAATCATATTCAAGTGGTCAGCCTAGTTTTCACACTTTATTTCGCAGTTTATCTTTGCGTAGTACTATAATTCTTAACTAATAACATAGTATCCTGCTTCTGTTATCAGTTTATAACTTAGTTTAAAAGACTCTTTTATTAAAATAACTAAAATTTTTCTTATAATATACGTTGTATATCTTTAAATTTTTTTATTTTAATTCAATAAACATGTATCATCCATCATCACTGAAGGGCTTGCCTACGTCTATTCTATTCATCATAGCCCATTATCATCTTATATCAGTTAAGAACACTTTTAACACACTAACTACGATTATTGAGTAATAATTATGAAAATGTATTAACACATTACTTTTTGCTTTTTTTCTTCTAATCTCTTAATTTATACTCTCTCTAGCTACTTTTCTATCTTTTTCTTTATTATTACATAGTTATGTAATAATTGACATAGATATTTATATGTAATTGTAAATTCAATATTCAATAATACTTTACCATTAGAATTTGTACATACAGAGTAACCCACCAGGTTTTGATATCTTTAATAAATGTTTATTTAGCAAATATTTCACTTTTTTTATATATAATTTTTATAGCTTTGAACTACATTAAAAGCATATTTCATATTATTCGTCTCCAATAAGAAATAAAAAATATATATATTATATTAATGGTAGTATTTTTCAATTAACTCTATTCCTTTTAAAGACTATCTCTGATATTTTCATGAACTTCTTCTAAGTTCTTGGCAATATAAATGATCTGCATTATTTACAAACTATGCTAAGTGGTACAAAAAAATTTGTTTTATTAAATTTAATTAATCTCCTGGTTTCACAGCTTGAATCTTAATAAATATTTTACAGTAAAATTTTGTTGTCTTAGATTTCTTCTTAATTCTTCCCTTTATTTTACTTGACACAATGAGAAACATTTAGGAAAATTTTCAGATTATTTCTTTAATTGTTCTTTACTCTCTAAATAGAACTTTTAATCAATTCTTTATCTCTTCATAATATTATACTCTCTCTCTCTCTCTCGTTATTATATTACAGCCTGAATTTATTATAATTATTTATATTATTTTTTTTTCCCTGGAGCACAAATATTATAGTTTACATGAATTTATTAAGTATCCAATACTTTAATGGTTGAGGTGTAATATTTCTAAAAATAAATTATAAAAAATTTTTTTTCACTATATTAACGGAAAACGAAACTGAAAATATTTAAAAATAAAATCGAAACCCTATCAAAACACAAAATATTACTTCGGTTAAACATATTTTATTTATATAATACAGGTATTATAAAAAGTTATAAAATCAAACGAGGTTCCTAAAGTAGATTAAGTAGAACATTAAATATACTTATTAATATACTCTAAGACCGCGATCTTAAAGTATTCATAAAATCTTAAAAAGCGTCTTTTAATTTGACATTTGGAAAATTAATCACGCTGTGACGTACATGGAGTGAGGTATGACAGCTAATCGTCAACTATTGAAATCGGTGTATACCATAAATCGTCGTCGGATTAGATCAAAAACAACATATAACTTGCAGTAGCGCCATAGTCAAATATAGTAGGTAGGACAAACATTTTTTTAATTTTAAAAACACTACCATGTCTCAAGAATTACTTGGCATTTTTTTTTTGCTCTTCATTGTAATAGTTATTTTTCAGCAATTGGAAAATTTGATAAAGGCAAAAATTTTTTTTTCATAATAAAGTACGTTACACTAGATTTAATTTAAGATATATATATATATAACAATTTCAGTATTTCCAGAACACTTTCTAAAGTTAAGTGTAAAAGTTAATTTTTTGTGCAAAAAATGTCATTTTAAATCCCCCCTGTGGGCTGGTAAAGGGTTAAATTTATGAAAAAAATATACCAAATGATAGGTAAAGACATCAAGCATCTATAAAAAAAAATATATATATATATATATTGATAAATTCATTTTTGAAAAAGTTATGGCAGTTTTTAGAAAAAAAAAATTGAAAAAATTAGCGTTTTTTAAATTTGTAATTTTTTGGAGGTTCTTTCATTTACGTGGAACGAGGGAAATTTTTTCAATTTTTAAGGGTAATGTCTTCAACTAGATACGATTTGTGATCTTCTGACGTATCCTTGAAAGAAATCCTTTCGGTGAGAGCTGAGAAAAAGTGGTAACAGACACAAAAAAAAAAAAAACACATCATAGCAAAACCAATATCTTCTCAGCTTCGCATCGAAGCTAAAATACTCAGGATAGTGGAACAAGAGCTGTGAATTTTCTTGAACAGACAAAAAATCACATCATGGTGTACTAATACCTTCTTAGCTTTGTTTCGAAGCTAAGATTTAACATATTTTGCAAAGCTTAGTTAACCTTTTTTATGTAAAGATAGTTTGCATATTCACACATTTTAAAACAAATAACAACTGATAACAGACTTTCATAACAATAATTATTCCATTACAATCGGTCGAGTTGTTAATAAATCATTAAACTTCGAATATTTTGCCTATTAAATATTTGATAAATATTATAAACAACTGTATCGATTGTAATTATTATTCAAGTTGAAATGTTCCATCATATCCTTTTTTTTAACTAAATAGATTATTAAATCTTCTAATTTATAAATTTACTCAATCATTAAAATTGTAATTACTTATAATGATTGATTTACATGGTAAACATCATTTAAACTAGGAACAGCATAACTAACTATTAGAACCCTAGCGGAAATATACGTCGCAACACCATTTATAAGATAATACGCCATTATTTTTTCTTAACAATTAAATATCTTTTTACCTTAAATATAAATAACTTGTTCATATAATAGAATAATAAATTACTTCGTTTGGTTTTTGTTATTAGACAAAAATTTATTATATTACTAAAATATTTTTCTAGTGGGTGAAAACGTATATTTCAGCAAACGGTACCCCGGGTTCGATCCCCATATACTAACGAAATTTTTCTTGTGATTTCTCATTGGTGTTGTTTGGTTTCTGATTCAAGCCGGCCATAATACCCGTTCTGTTCATCATTGTCTTCGCCAAGAAATATCTTTGACTCCCTAACATGTGAAAGAGGGCTGCTAAACTCTGTAGCAGACAAGAAAAGAATGTAAAACTGTTCATTATTTTTTTTATTTAAATATTTTTCCAATTTCTTAACTTATAAGCCCGAAGCGTGGGCACCTTTCGCCTACTAATACTACAATTTGATTAATTTACATACTATTTACTATATTTATTAATATTTATTTTATTGTTTTAAGGGTCATAGTGTTTCAGAAATTGAAATAAAAGAAATATGCCAAGCAATTTTAAAAGGTAATCTAGTGTTGCAATAAATACAAAGCCGTATTTACAAATTTAACTTAAACATTTTTTTTCTTCGATTTATGATAATATGTTATTGGTTACAGTAAAAAAGACATGATATTTACGACCATGAAAATATTTATTAATATAATTTTAAAGAAATATTAAAAAAAATATTTACTGCATATCACAGATTATAAATATTCAAATAAAATTAAGTTTTATTAGCATAAGAGTTAATTTAATTTAATCATTGCAAATAAATTAAAAATTTTAGAACAAATAACAGAAATCACATCAACATTGGTTGGACCACCAGGACCTCCAGGTAGATCAATTGTAGGAAAACCTGGATCCCCTGGTATCCAAGGTCCTCCAGGTTTGTACACGATAAAATACAAAAATAAATTTTAATGATACATGCATATTTTCAGGTGAACAAGGACCACCTGGTTTAGGTTTACTAGGTGAACGCGGCTTTCCAGGATCTCCAGGATTACAAGGACCTGCTGGTACTATTTCAATTACAAATTATTTAATAATTTAAATATTATTTTTAAAAACTTTATTGCAGGGCCAGAGGGTCCTATAGGACCTAAAGGAGATAAGGGAGATCGTGGTAATGAAGCCATCACATATGAAGGCCCACCTGGACCACCAGGACAACCCGGTTAGACTTTTTTATTTAATAATAACTAGGACTCCTAACTTAAAGCATTAATTAACAAATATAACAAACGTTATATTTGAAGCGCTTTAATAAACACTTAAAAATACCGCTTTTATCGCTGTAATATACATATCCTACTTGATTATTTTTCCCTGTGGATAGGGGATAAGAATACTTCCACGGCCCCTCTGTCAGTCGTAAGAGGCGACTAATGAGGTTGCGTTAAGTCGACAGCCGGCGTAAAATTTTTGTCAAATAGTATGAGGTGTCCTGAAAAAAACTTAGACGAATTGTCTCATCTCGGATGTACGCGGGAACAACAGGTAAGAGGGAATAAAGTAGTTAAAAACGGAGAAAGCCTAACGAATAAAATGTTTGATACCAGCCGAACAACTTGTGCGGTAGCTGTTTCACCAGTCATGTGTACAGGTCTAACCAACTTTTTTAGTGTCAACGTTGCAGGGACATCACCACTTATCTCTAGGCTGGACTCGTGTATAAGGGAGAAAGATAGATACAAAGTAAGAATAGGTATTTGGAATGTTGGAACATTAACTGGTAGAAGTGGAGAGTTAGTAGAAGTATTGAAGAGGAGAAGAGTTAACATCTGTTGTGTACAGGGAACTATGTAGAAAGAAGAGAAATCGAGGTAAATAGGTGACGGTTATAAAATAATATACTCAGATAAGTCTAGTACAAAGAATGGTGTAGGGATAATAATGGATGAGGAGATGAAAAGTAAAGTAGTAGAATTAGCTAGGAAAGAGACAAAATTATAGTCGTAAAATTGATATTTGAGAAAAATGGCTGAATGTAATAAGTGCCTATGCACCACAAGTAGGATGTGATACAAATGAAATAGACAAGGAAGTTTTTTGGAGAGAGATGGATGAGGTGATGCAAGGGGTACCTTCTAATTTATAGTTTTTTATATTTCAAAGGAAATCTATAAACACGCAGAAGTAAGAGAGAAAAGGTCTAAAGATTATCATTGTATAAGGTGTATAAAAAGTGTTGATAATAAGGTGCTCTCGAGTGATGTGAAAAAAATGTGGAAAGAGTATTTGAAAAATTACTAAATGAGGAGTACCCAAAAGAGACATTAGAGGATATCTCGTGGAATAACGGACTGGTAGATTTAATTAGTGAGAAAGAGGTATGGGAGGCTGTTGCATCAATGAAAAAGATTAAAGTAGTAGGACCAGATGAATTCCAGTAGAATTATTGAAAATATTAGGCGGTGTTGGCATAAGGTGGTTTAAGGAACTTTTAAATAAATCTTATTAGAAGGGAAAAATCCAAATAAATGGAGGAATAGTATTGTAGTGCCAATATTTAATGGTAAAGGTGACATACAGGAGTGTGAAAATTATAGAGGCATAAAGCTTATGAGTCATAGTATGAGAATTTGATAAAAGGTAATAAATAAGAGAATAAGAAATGAGACAATGGTATCTAAAAACCAATTTGGATTTATGCCTGGTAATTCAACAATGGAGCCATTATTTTGTGTGAGACAACTAATAGAAAAGTTTAGGGAAAAGAATATAAAGCAGTGTATGATAAGTTATAGATTTGGAGAAAGCGTATGATAAAGTACCGAGAGAGGTTTGGAAGTGGGCATTAATGAGAAAAGGAGTCCCGAAAAAGTACATTAATATAATAGAAGATATGTACGATGGCACTTCAGAACAGAAGGTTTTGGGTAAGAGTAGGAGTGCACCAAGGTTTTGCTTTAAACTTTATTTATTCTCTATAGTGATTGATGAAATTTCTAGAGAAATACAAGGAGAGGTGCCGTGGTGCATGTTTTTTGCTGACGATATAGTGTTAATAAGAGAAAAGAGGGAGGAAATTAATCAAAGCCTATAGATGTTGAGATCAGCTCTTAAAGAAAAGAGTTTAAGAATAACTAGGAGTAAGACAAAGTATATAGAGTACGAGTTTGACAAAGGAGAACACAAGGTAGGTAAAATGAAAAGTTCAATGACAATAAGCGAGGACATGATTGGAGAGGTGGAAAGTTTTAAGTATTTAGGATCAGTTGTACAAAAGAGCGGTGCTATTAACGAAGATATAAAACACAGAATTAATTGCGGGTAATTGATGTGGAGAGAAATGCCTGGCGTCTTATGCGATAAAAGAATTTCAACGAGGCTGAAGGTAAATTCTACAAGACTGTAGTGTGACCAGCTATAATGTATGGTTCAGAGTGTTGGGCGGTTGATAAGAAAGTAGAGGAAAAAGTAGAGTGTAGCAGACATGAGATTGCTTAGATGGATGAGTGGAGTGACTAAAGAAGATATGACAAGGAACGAACATATAAGAGCAAGTATAGGTGTAGCGTCAATCGTGGATAAGATGAGAAAAATATAGTTTAAAAAAACTAAAAAACACGCTTTTAAAGCACATCGAACTAAAAAGTTAAAAATAATTTTTAAAATTAACTTAAAACAATAATGAACGAAAAATACTAGAATTATATACATGTAAAGCGACCTAAGTACGTAAACGTATCACGCATGAGGTATAGCCGTGTTTTGTGGGCGGGAGTGGCGGGGGGAACATTATACACGAGGAATATACGGCGGCAGCGGCGTCGGCTGTAGGAATATATAAATGAATATTAATATATGAATATATATATTAATATTAGCGGTGGCGGTAGAAATATAAGATCATCGCATAATATCGCGGCACTTTCGCTGGCGTAGATGACGACGGTGCGCGAGTGCGGATCGGTTTGTTGACGTTGTCACTTTGACAACGAGAAGAAGACTACGGTATCATTAGCGGCGGGACATCGTGCGGCACTTGCTGGACTTTGCACCGCGGCGTATAACGCGCGGTGTTGGTCAGTCAAATACTCATAAAATAGGGCGACGGCTGATAAAGGTGGCACGAGTCGTGGGGCATCGTGTATAATGAAACGACGCGAGGCCGTGTCAATCACAATAAAAATTTGTTATATATATACAAAGTGGCCCACCACTCACTGACAACTTAAATAACTTTTGATCCAGTTAAAAACGCTATCTTTTCAATATACTTTTGAATGAGAGTGATAAGTAATAATTGCCTTATCTAATTTCTTATCATGGTATTAATGCCATGTGTGTAATGTATACANGTATACAATTTTTAAAAATTAATTATTTTTATTTAATTTTAAATTTTTTCAAACAGAACAATTTATTTTTATGAAACAAAAATATCTATTTCTAAAAAAAAATATTACTTTATTATTTTCTAATTTAAAACGTGTACAAAGATATAAATGTAAAAGAAGATATATCAAAGCTGTATAACAACATATTCTACAGTTAGTAGTTAGATAATAGTATTGATTATACATAGTAATTTTTATAATCAACAGCACTATAAATAAAGTAGGCGGCAATTTATTTGATTCATGTTTTTATCTAATTTTAACAAAGTATTGATATTTTCTCCCTTAAACTGGTTTTATGGATGTCGTCGGCCGTTGATAGTCGATTATTATTGGAATACTAAGAAAGTTCAAACACAATAATTTGTCTCATTTTTCACAAAATTACTATCTAATAATGTCACACTAATAATGTGTTGTGTACAGACAGCTCATTGTGTTTAGTACTCGACTACAAGTGACCGAGTTAATGTGTTGAGGTGTTTTTTTTTATTTGTATATTTTATTATTTATTAACGTATTAAAATGAGTGATGGCAGAAAACGTTTAAGTGGAAGTGCTTATAAAAAAGTTGCTAAATTAAAATTAGAAAAAGAACAAAAAGTCATTTCTCAAACCGCAAAATTAACTTCATTTTTTGGCAATCAATCTCCAATTCGCCAAGTGAAATAGAGACTACAGCTGAACAGATTTTAAATGAGTCTAGTGATAAAAAAACCCAGCACAAGGGGGTCGCGGCACAGTGGTAANTCAATCTCCAATTCGCCAAGTGAAATAGAGACTACAGCTGAACAGATTTTAAATGAGTCTAGTGATAAAAAAACCCAGCACAGGGGGGTCGCGGCACAGTGGTGACGTGGTATAGTTGGATCAAGTATAATGATATCTGACAGTGATTAAAATCACTATAAAAAAAAAACGCTTCGATGCAAATCTTTAGATACTGTTTTATTTTAAAAAATTGGTGGACTATTCCAAAAGCTACATGATCTGCTAGTTCATTATTAATATCCTAATTAAGATAAAGTATGTAGAATGAAAAAGGGATTATTAAAAAATATTATTTCTCATAAAAAAATAATGTTGATCCATACACTTTACAATATGTCATAGCATTATAAAGTTAAAAATGTAAAAAATAAAATCGAGAATTTTCACAAAATAATCGCATCGAAGCTAAAAGTAATTTGAAAATCAAATGTTAACTTTTGTACGTTATTTTAGTTTTATATAAATGAAAAATTTTATAATTTTAGCTTCGATTGGTTTTACTAAGATGTGTTTTTTTTTTTTTTTTTTTTTTTTTTTTTTTTTGTGTCTGTTACCACTTTTTCTCAGCTCTCACCGAACCGATTTCTTTCAATGATACGTCAAAAGATCACAAATCGTATCTAGTCGAAGACATTACCCTTAAAAATTGAAAAAAATTCCCTCGTTCCCCGTAAATGGGGGAAACCTCCAAAAAAATTACAAATTTAAAAATCGCTAATTTTCGAAATTTTTTCAATTTTTTTTACTTAAAAGTGCCATAACTTTTTCAAAAATGAACATATCAATATAATTCTTTTTTATATAGATGCATAATATCATTACCTTTCATTTGGTATATTTTTTTCATAAATTTAACCCTTAACCTGCCCACAAGGGGGGATTTAAAATGACAACTTTTTCACAAAAAATTAATTTTTTTAACTTAAATTTTGAAAATGTTCCGGAAGGTCTGACACTTTTATATATATCTTAAATTAAAGCTAATGTAATATACTTTATTATGAAAAAAAAAAATTTCGGACTTTATCTTATCTTCATGGTGAAAATGGCTACCGAATGCTATTTTTGTGTGAAAATTTTCGATTTTGTATTTTCCATTTTTAACTTTATTATGCTATAACTTTTTGAAAAATGTATGAATCATTACAATTTTTTTATGAGAAGTAGTATTTATATAGATCTTTCATTCGACATACTGTTTTTTTAAATCGGACCATTTCCCTAAATACAGGGGGGATTCAAAACATAAAAATGCATATAGAAAGTAGAACTTTTTCAACGTAACTTTTGAAAGTGTTCCGGAAGGTCTGACACTTTTATATATATCTTAAATTAAAGCTAATGTAATATACTTTATAATGGTAAAAAAAAATTTCGGACTTTATTTTATCTTCAAGGTGAAAATGGCTACCAAATGCTATTATTGTGTGAAAATTCTCAATTTTATTTTTTACATTTTTAACATTATAATGCTATAACTTATTGAAAAGTGTATTGATCAATATAATTTTTTTATGGGAAATACTATTTTCTAATAATCTCTTTTTTATTCTACATACTTTGTCTTAATCAGGATATTAATAAGGAACTAGCAGTTTATGAAGCTTTTGGAATAATCCACCAATTTTTTAAAATTAAACACTATCTAAAGATTTGCATCGAAGCGTTTTTTTTTTGATAGTGATTTTAATCACTGTCAGATATCATTATACTTGATCCAACTATGCCACGTCACCACTGTGCCGCGACCCCCCTGTGCTGGGTTTTTTAGTGAACATCCTCTACATAGTACTTATGAAACCATGGCAAATGAAAATCAATTAATTGAATATTCGGAATTATTAAATACGCCAACTAAAAAACCCAATCCAACAATTTTGGGGGGCGGCAAAATTAAGTGCACCGGGCGGCAAAATTCCTAAATGCGATCTGTATATACATAATTGATGACACGCGCGCGTCTACGGGTTGGAAAATATTGTTGTCTACGAGTGGTGAGCGGGGTGGGGCGAATGCGTTACGACAGTCTAGTCTCAAGGTCATATACTACGGGATACGCGACATAATAACACGTGCCGCGTGGAGTTACATACTTACAAACAAACATACATTTGAAACTAATATAAGCGTGTATAAATAGACTTAAATGTTTTAGTCATGTTTTATGGAAGCTGTAAGAACAGTTATAGTAATGAATTTTCAAGGAAGATGAGGTAGAGGAAGACCAAAAAGATAGAGAGATAATATTGAATGTGATATGAAGACAGCTGATGTAAGCGTAGAGGATGTGGGAGATCGTGTTAAGTGGAAATTTAGGATAAGGTTGGCTGACCCCAAGTAGTTGGAATTCAGGCCAGGAAAAAGAAGAATTACAAGATCGCTATAATATGCAGCAAAAATGAAAATAAAAATTGAGAAAAAAATATCAACATTTATTTCATGAAAATTTTTGCAATTTTAGTTTAATATTTAATGAAAACTATACTTTGATCATCATAATTTAATACATAATTCTTTAAAAATGCATAAAAAAGTTCTATTATATATTAATGGCGACGTTAAAGTCTTAATCGTGGTTGACAGTTTGTCTTTAATATCCAATAATTAAGAGTAATTAAAGTAAAATTTAGAATTTTTAAAGTAAACAAAACTAAATAAAGACCTTTAAATATGAATTTCTTTGTGTTATAATAGATATACAGACTGTTAAGTAAGTAAGGAAACAGGTGAATTGTTATAAACAATGAGAACACTAGTAACCCGTTTCCTTACTTATTGAACACTCTCTCTCTCTCTCTCTCTCTATATATATATATATATATATATATATAAATTTGTTCATGTTTTGACCTCCTGATATTTTTTTCTACTGCTATACCGAAATAACGCTAAAAACACAAAATAAGCAAAACAGCATTTCGACATCGTAATATGCAACATAGAATTTCGTTTTTAGCTTACTTAGTTTTTAAAACAATTTTAAAAATTATCCCTAGAACCTACAAAAAAAAAAAAAATGTAAATGTTTAAAGTTATGATCCTTGATAATAATTAATATAAATTGTTTAATTGACATTATCTAAAATTCAAATATAGGACCAATTGGCACACATGGCAGGCCAGGAGATAGAGGAGAGCCAGGTCGACCGGGTAAGTAAAAATATAAAAAATATTAAAATGTTCCCTTATAATTAATAAAATGGTGTAAAATCAGTAGGTTTTTAAAATGTTAATGCTATTTCTACATTTTTGGTATATATAAAAATAAAAAATCTATGAATGTTTTAGGTTAACCAAAAATATTAAAAAGAAAAATAACTTAAAAAATTGATTTTGATTTAATATCATAAATAGCATATCTAAATTATTTTATTTTTAGTGTCTAATAAAATTATTTCAGTTATTATTTCAAAGTTTCAAATTGAAAATAAATTGTGTAATTCGTTGATTTCCAATTAAGCGTAAAATTGCAAAAAAAAAAACTTTCTTTTATTTTCAATTCTTAATTTTGTTAATTTTTATGAGTAATTTACGTATTACCTCTTTCTTTCACTTANTTTTGTTAATTTTTATGAGTAATTTACGTATTACCTCTTTCTTTCACTTAGTTTTAAACCTCATATTTTTTTTTTTTTATCAAAATCAAAAGTTTGCAATTTTACACGTTTTTTTCCTTTGACTATTGTTTAGTCTTTGACCCGAGAGACAAGCCTTATAAATATTTTGGTAAGCTATAGAAATTATATAAACTTTAATTAATTAGAAAACAACCATTAATTATAACTATTTGGTGATTAGAATTACCAATTAAGTTGTGGAGGTGAATGCCTTCTACTACTTTAACATTTCTGGCTGATACTCTATTGTACATTCGCATTAAAGCGTTTAATGATAGACATGCTAATTACTTTAGATTTCAATATATCCTCAATGTCACGTCAGCACTGTCCTGTGTTAAGTTTTTTAACTTTGATTATTTTTAAGTTTTTGTTTAATATTTCATATTTTGAACACATGTCTTGGCAAAAATGTAATAAACCAAAAATAAAAATAAAGGAAATAAAAAGTAATATTAGAGATCGGCCTTGGTAGGGTAGGATAGTGGAATATTGGAATATCAAATATATTTTTTTTAATTTATATAATTTTTATTAATGGTTTATTACACAATAGATTGTTGGAGGTTCGAAATCATAGGTTAAATTGTACTTACCTTACATCCTATATAATTCAATAATATTTCAAGTAATCCGATGTTGATTCTCTGGTATTAAATGCACTACGTATACTATTTACACTACACGTCATATAGTCAATATAATTACTTATGAAAACGATTCAAATTTTAAATATTATTATTTAATTACACAAAATCTATGACTGATTTTACTTATAAATGATTCTAAACACTTTATATTTTATTAGAATTATAATTTATAATTTGTCCATATTCATTTTTTTTTCCTTTGTTGAACAAGTATTTTTTTTTTGAGAGAGTATATTTTATTGAGAGATCGACACCAATATTTCTTAAATTTTTCTCTGGCCATTTGATGTGTTTCAATCATTTTTTTTTTATATATTTTTGGTTAATTATTTACTTAATGCGTATTGAATGGCCAGTAAAAAGTATTTTCTTTACCTTAATTAAGTCGAGACTATATTTGTGCTCTAATAATTATAAGTGATTTTTCAAACAATTTTTTTTATAAAATAGGAAAATTTTAAAGTGTTCTTTGAAAATTGAATATTGATAGGGATAAGGACATCATTTTCTAGTTAATAAATAATACAAATTTGTTTTTTTTTCTTGTAGTGCTTATTGAAGACCAATGGTCACTAATATATTAATATGATCATTGACCATGTTAGTTATTTTCATCTGGCTGTTGCAACCGCTTGTATAAATACCATCAAAATATAATTTATATATGACTGGTGCAGTTTTTTAGCAATCCTATAATAAGTGCATTATGTCTATTATAGTGCTGCTTAAGAATTTAAAATCAAATAAGATAATTACCATAAAAAAAAAAGCTGAAAAATGTTGTATTGGACTGTTTAAATTCTTATAAATTATTTATATTTTGTAAATTGTTATCTCAAATACACAAACTCAAAATTCATAATTTTATATTTAGGTCCAGTGGGTCCGCGAGGTTATCCTGGTTCTCAAGGTGCACCAGGCTATTGTGAAATGTGTAATAATATGTATTATCCAGCAAGATTACCACCAGCTGGAAATTTCAAAGGACCATAAGTTTTACTGTAAAATTATCGTATATTTATTCAAAAATGTTTCAATATCAAAAATTAAAATAAATATCTATTTTAAGTGTTTGAAATTGTTTTTTAATATTTTTTAACTATATTAAGGAGTATAAGAAAAAAATATCTATTTATTTTTAAAAGTTAAGAATTGTTTTCTAATTTAAAATACCATTAAATCATTAAATTTATATTTTAATCGTTTAATAACCAGATTCATCATCATATTATTAAGGTCGATGAAGAGTCCATCTGGCTTAAAGTGACAAAAAAACATAGTGAAGACTAGTACCCCTACACAATTTTAAGTGTTTCATGTATTCATAAAATTACAAACATTTCGTTAATTTTTAAAGCTATGCTTATTAATCTTCCAAAAGAGGTAGGTTGACTTAGTTTCCTTACACCCTGGGGATATGTGCCTAATTTTTCTAAAACGTTTCTAATTGATGACTATTAAAAAATATATATTTATATACAAGGTGATCCGCTTATTAAAAACCACTCAATTAATCGCAAAATAAAAACAACTTTGACTTGTTTCTTTAGCTTACTATTACTGATAATTTTGTTATCAAAATATTAGCTATGTAACACTTTTTAAATGCATCCCTAATGCCTTATAAGGGCGTCAACTTAAGTTTTTCAAATGAGAACACATATTTTGCATTTAATAAAATGCTTCATGATTTTTAATAGAAAATGTCATTTGAATTTTTAATATAACTTCATTCGTTTATTAGATGTAACATTTTAAAGTTTCCTATTTTTTAATTAAAAAAACGGTAGCACAGTGGGGTCGAGGCACAGTGTGGACGAGGCATAGATGGGACAAGTATAGATGATATCTGACAGTGATTAAAATCACTATCATAAGAAACGCTTCGATGCAAATCTGTAGATAGTGTTTCCTTTAGAGAAATTGGTGAAATATTTTAAAAGCAACATGAACTCTTATTTCTTTAATTATATCCTGATTAGTAGTTCTTTGATTTTAAAATATAATATATGAATAAATACTAATTATAGTTTTTAAATTTAGTATGAAATTGTGAGGCCAGCTATGATGTATGGTTCATAGTGTTGGGCGGTTGATAAGAAAGTAAAGCAGAGAATAAGTGTAGCAGAGATGAGAATGCTTAGTTGGATGAGTAAAGTAACTAGAGAAGATAGGATAAGGAACGAGCATATAAAAGGAAGTATAGGTGTTGCGTCAATCGTGGATAAGATGACAGAAAATAGACTTAGATTGTTTAGTCATGGTATGAGGAAAGAAGAATCGAAAGCTGTAAGAACAGTTATAGAAATGAATGTTGAAGGAAGAAGAGATAGAGGAAGACCAAAAAAGAGATGGAGGGATGCTATTGAATGCGATTTGAGGACAGCTGATGTGAGCGTAGAAGATGTGGGAGATCGTGTCAAGTGGAA